GCTATGCTGCCTAGGCCAGGAGCAGGACCCACTATCCTTAGTGCTGCACCTGGTAAGGTAATGGGAAGAGTCAGCTCCCTCATCTGTTGCAGGAGGTTAAGGAACGAGGGGTAAGGAGGGGCATCTCTCCTCCACCCACGCTGCTGTATGACAGATGAGTAGTAGGGACAGCTCTCCCATGCTTACAGCTTCGGGGCTTGTTCACCCACACCTCCACCAACTGAGTGCTGCAGCTGGTGGGGGGCAGGGATGGCTCTCTCTTGCGACACAGGGCCAGCTCTCCCACCTGCCTCAGGTATTGATAGGTGTGGTGGGGAGAAGAGCATCTTTCCCCTCCCCATGCCACCACAAGACAGATGAGAAATGGGATGAGCTCTTCCGTGTTGAGCATCTTGATGTGAGGGTCTATCCCCTTTTTGCAGGCTTCATCTCCCATCAGTAAAAAGTTCCATATCTGAATTGGGGAGTGGTTCATCCTTTAAGTCTGGCCATGAGGAGAAAACTTCTTTTGTCATTTCTCTGAAATCATGGAGGGACTTTTCCCCCTTTTCAGGCAAGTATATGGCTGGATAACATACCTGTCATCTTGTTTAATGAGGAAAAGATCTGGATTTTCCCTTAGTGTACATCCTGGAATGCACTTGTCCCTGGAATGCAGCCTGCTGGAATCCAGTGAGCATCCCCATGAAGTCGTTGAGTCTCACGGTTGGCTGGCAGGACAAATTGGTGTGCATTGTGCTAGACAGATGCCAATGGAAGGATGGAATCAGGTGGTCTTGCAACTGACTCTGCAATGTGAGGTGTTGGCAGTTGGAGCCAGTAGAGGACAGCATCATGGGCAAAATTTTATCCTCTAGGGACGTTAATAGCTGTGCTTCCTTGGTGTCTTCAGGCTTAACAGTTGTTGCAGGACTGTGTGGGTCTCACATTGAGACTGTGTAGATCCCATGACCAGAAGAGATCCCTAACCAGGAGTTGGGGGGTTTATATGTGCCTAGCCCTGTGAGATGTGTAGGGAGAGCTGGGGAAGATCACCTTCTCCCTCAAGCGGATGACTGCCTTATTGGTTGCCTCACAGTGACTTAGAGGTCTTTCCAGGCTCAGTCACCTCCTTACATGGGAAGTGAATGCCCATTCAATTGAAGCAAACTCAGCAGAACCTCAGGTTGAGCCCCAATCAGACCCAGTAGCCACAGCACTGTGGAACCATTACAAACATTCACGCAACTCATTTACTATCCATTCAGAAGTTATATGTTTCCATTTTAAATTCCCAGTCTATCTATTTCTCTGAAGACCAATATCAGTGCCTTGGTATCCCTTTGATACCCTGGAGACCAGTGCCACCTTAGTATCCTACTGAGGCTTCAGATGCAATCGTCTGTTGGGTGATTAAGCCCATCTGGCTTTCCTGCCTGTCTCCCCAGGTGTCCTTACCTGGTCTGAATGTCCAGTCTAGTCTTATTTTTTCCACTCTTGGGTCTCACATTCAGTTTTCCTTGGCCACTGGAATGAGATCCCAGAATCCAATTAAGGGTGCATACTTCTATATTCCAAAGACCTTCAGTGAGCTGAGAGGCCTGGGAGCAGCAATCATTTTTCTATCAACTGGGGTCCTGGTGAAGGAGATCTCACTGGGACCTCCAGAAATGTTACAGGACTCTTTCTGGAATAAGCACTTCAATACCAATAAAAGCAGAAGAGAGGAGATGTCACTAGTGGACTGAAGCCAAGATAGCTCCTGAAAGGCCTTAGTCCTGGGTCCAGTTTGCAGTCTCATTTTATACTCTAAAACCACAAGGTGGGGTGGACAAGCAAAAGAGACTTTATAGAAGGTATGTGGCAGTCAGCATGTTGTTAAGAGCAACAACCTGTTATTTTAGCTATTCCTCCAGGTCATTCTGTTCCAGGCAGCAAGTGAAATCATGCTTGGCAAATAGGCAGTACAATCAGTGCTCTAAGTAAATCACTAAATCAGTATTTGATGATTGATCCCTTTTTTCAGCAATACGTGAGAAACTTGTTTGTTTTTCTTTATGATTTCATCATAAAAGAGAAATATATTTCCTCTTTACTTTGAAAGAATTTTTTAAAAGAAATTTTGCACTTATGACCATCAGGGAAAGTGGTCTACAGTTTTCTCTTTGGTTTTCACACCAGTGTAATACTGGCTTCATACAGCATGTTAGTGGGTATCTTTTTCTTTTCAACTTGTGGGAAAGTTTAAGAAGCATTGATATTAGCTCTTCAAAAAGTCACTATAATTTGGCAGTGAATACATCCGATTGTGGGTTTCCTTTTGGGGAGTCTTAATCACTGCTTTAATCTCATTGAACATTATGGGTCTATTAAATGGTTTTATTTATCTTACCCTCCCAAAGCTCTAGGCATTGATTTTTACACTAAATAAATACTGTCTTAGTACCCATTATGGTGAAGTAGACTTGACCATTCTATAATCCATCTTATTAACATCAGTATTGATGTTTAAAATGTCCATCATATTGTATTCCTTACAGTTAGAACTACATAATGAAGCAGAAGCACAGAAACTCTTGTCCCTATTACTTAAACTGAAAGGACAGAGTGGGCCAATATATGGGTATTCACATAGTGTAGTTTGGTGCACCAAGCTGGTTAGGATTTGCTATTATTTATGTTGTATGAGCTGTTAAAATAGCAAATTATAAAGGATGTATTTCCTGGCCTCCATATTTCTTAAGTCACACCTTGGCCATCTTACTGTCTTGTTCCTCTATAGAAGGCCAGGAACTTATGAAAACAAGATCTCCTAATCCTGCTAGAATATGCCCCATGTAGTTAATATTTCTGACTATTTTCCAGTCTGCTTCTAGCGGCTGCACTCTGCCCTTGGGATGGGCTAGCCTTGGTAAATCTGACTGTCCTATCAGGGTATAGGCTCCCAGAGCTAGCATAGGACCTGGGTCTTGGACTAGGGGATAGGCCAGGGCCTAGAGGGGCAACAGGAGTGGGAAGTAAGGGCCGCAACATTGGTTAGGTCTTTAGTAGTTTGAATGTTCTAAAATGCATTCTAGTCTCTCTAGTCATTATTAATATACATGAAAAAAGATAAACCATCATATAAAACATGTTTTATTGGTTGTCTCAAATGTGGATTTCTCCAACTGAGCTCCCATTCTGAAACTCAGCTAATTGTCTCACTAGCCAGACTAAATAAATAGTTGATGTTATAACTCCTTTTCCTCCTTTATTGTGTACCACACAGTTTTGCATGAGCTCAGTGGCTCCATGATTTTGAAAATGACTGGTTTGTAAGCTTATCTTTGTGTATGATTTAGATACAGTCCTCAAGCTGCCTGGACACCGTGGGCCGTGTCCCTTCCCCGCCCCACCAAGGCCCTCTTGGAGACCACCGGCTTGGTCAGACACATCAGTGTGGAGACTACTTGTATACAAGGCAACCTCTTAAAATATTTGGTCCATTGAAAATCTTCAGTCTGTTTTGTCAATATCCTATTTCCCTTCCTTCCTCATTCCCCAGACCAAAATGGACTACAGAACAAGCTTTATTGAATTTATTTGCTTTGCATTAATAAAAAAAACAAGAAAGCTAAAAGAAACAAGTAAACTTATCAGAATACATTTCTAGGCACTGAAAAAACTTAAGCTCATGATTAAAAACTGAGGTCTGTTAGTACTTGGAGAGATATCATTAAGGGGGAGTTCTCATAGTGAGGATGATGTAATGAAGGTATAGACAAAAATGGGGAAGGGAAGTGTTAGAGCTAATATACTAGGATTACCTATGTTAAAGGCATTGGTTTAAATAAACTATTCACTATAGGAATATAAATGGAATGAAATCCAGTCAATCAAAAACTTAACATTATCAAAAGGGCAAAACTAGAGGATCAAAATAAGGAGATGTTTTATAGATTAAATGAAAAATCCAGCATGATGTTGTAGAGCATGTCATTTTACCATCATCAGCAAAACCCAGCACCAATTATTTAAGTTAGCTATAGAATCTCATTGCCTCTCTAAACTTGGTTTTGAATGGGGAAGCATCCAACATAGATGTTCAAAGCTGCATGTCTGTTTAAGCAAAGCAAGCACAATGTGACAAAAGTAGATGTCCTTTGGAATTAAGATGTCCTTTGGAGTTAGGTTTACTGTTAAGGCATCTAAATGTAGATCTCTCATAATGTTTGCTAAACTTGAGAGATAGAATGAATGTGGAGAAATTGAACATGGAAAAGTTAATTAAGGTGGGGAAAACCCACCTGCCATAGGTGACACCATTCCATAGGCTTTGGATCCTGGAATATATATGCATTCCAGAAAGTGAATTGAACACAGTAATTCACTACTTTCCATATCTTGACTGGAAAAGCAATGTGACCAACTTCCTCAAGTTCCTGCTGCCAAGAATTCCCTGCTATGATGGGTTGCACACTTGAACTCTAAGCCAAAATAAGCCCTTTCTCCTTTAGGTTGATCTTATCAGAGAATTTATTACAGCAATAGGAAAAGTAACTAAGATGCTGAGTTACACAGAGTTCTTTGCCTTAAGCCTGGAGCCAGAGAGGAAGGACACTCTCCAGAGGACCCAGACACAGTCTAACTAGTGGTCTTGCCATCTTCTTGGTTGAAAGTACATCCATTCCCTGGGCTAAATTACCTGAATCTTTCCATTGAAATTATTTGGTTGAAAGAAATGACAATCTTTTTAGTTGCTGGAGCAAAATACGATTATTTTCTTTCTTCTAAGGCACAATGTTTTGCATTTCTATAGCCTAACTTTTCTGGAGAACATGCTGGGTTTGGGGATATTGGTAGTGACTTACTGAGGGTTAGACATTAGTAGCATTTATTTCACTCAAATAATTAAAATGTTAATTTCTATTTCTAATGTTATTTTTCTAAATAAAAACTAGCCCTAGTAAAAATGTTATATGAAATTACCACAGCTACTGGCAGTTATTACTGAAAATGCTGATGCTCTGTCCAGGAGCTATTTATTTCATGATCTCTGACATTTGGCTCCATGCTTGAGATTTCTTCTTGGCCATTGCGAACCACACAGGCTCCTCAGGAGGTGAAAATTTGGGTGGCAGACTGGAAGAGCGTCTGGTTTCTCTTTCACTGGTATATGGATGAGGCAAGTTCTGATCATCAAATGCAACTGGAATCACAGCAAACAACATGCAAACAGTCAGAAATCCCAGAGACACTGGGATATATTTAAAGATGAAATTAAATGCACCATCCTTGCATGTTTTCTATGGTCACCCAGTTCTTAGTACTTTCCAAACATTGTTCTCTGAGAAGTCAGACTTCTAAAAATCAGAGCTTGGGTGAATGGCGCAATAGGTATGTATGTCCAGGGCAGCATCAAGTTGGAAATGGCTACAGGATCATAGCCATGGCAAGGCACGTGAGGTGATTCTTGCGGTGTGACAGCCAATCTTTTGACATTTACTATTTGACTATCTTATACTTTTGAACTCACACCCAAAGGGAAACATATTATACCTATTCCTTTTTTTTAATTTCAGATCTCTTTTCACTAGTCACTAACATTGTGAAATTAAATAACTGATGGCTCAATAGATCTATGTAATAAAAGCCAGAGAAATAATACTCTGCCAACTACTGTGGCCAGACAGACTACTCTGTTTTCCAACTCCACTCCCTCCCTCATCCTGCTCTACAGCTTAAAAGCTTCAACTAAACAAATGGTTCTCAATTCTAACTACACATTGGAATCATCTAGGAATGTTTTTAAAATGCCAGTGTATCTGGGTGTGATGGTATATGCCTGTAATCCCAGCATTTGGGAGGCTGAGGCAGGAAGACTAGGAGTTTGATGCTCTAGCTTGGGCTACATCACTGAAATCAAATGACAACTACAATAACAAAAAACAAAAACAAAACAAACAAAAAAGAGAAACACAAAAACTGTCAGTGTCCACGCAATTTCTTGAACCAACTGAATCAGTAGGGAAGCAGTTAGGACTATCTATCATTTAACAAGCTTCCTGGTGGATCTATTCTTCAGGGGAGCTGAGAACCACATTTCAGGAATATACAGCTCATAAGACATGGATCAAGATGATGACTGCTATTTCCACAGTGAAATAATGGGTTCCTGAGTTGAATGTAAGTCCATCCTCCTCTCCAGTTTCAGTAAGAGTCCAGGGATGATGGTGTACCAGAGGCCAGAGGCCTTGAACCAGACCAATGATTCATTGCAATGAACATTTGCAGATGAGGCTGATTGGACAAAAGGATATATATACTGTGTGACACACTGCAGCTCTCAATGCCACTAAAATGAATGAAGAGGTGTTGGAGAGGTGGTAATGGCAGAGGAGTGAAGTGGGGTTCTTTGCTTGTTTTGTTTTTAATTAAATTTTGGGGGTGTTCTTTAGGTGGATGCTGCAGGGTTGAGGGGAGGATATGGAGGGACTTGGAGGTGAGTGGGATTGGGGTGCATGATGTGAAATTCCTAAAGAATCAAAAAAGATTAACATTATTTTAAAAATATCTATCCTCCTCTCCTTCAGCTCCTGCTGAGGAAATCCCTCTGGTACATAACTCTCACTGATGAGGTCGCAGTCTATCATTTCCTGTCACATTTATCTGCAGCATTCAACAAACCCCCATGTCTCACACCCCTACTCAGAATATAGAGTGTATGAAGTGAGCCTTTTCAATGAATCAATGCTACTGGTCCTTTACAGTGGATTATCAACAGTTTCATTGAGGTTAGAACAGGTGAAGAAACATTGCTTTGCTACACCTAGAAAATGACTTGGTACTTTCCTTTCGTACCTAGCACAAGAACGTTTTATGCCTTGCCTTGCCAGCTTCTTCAGTGAGGTGAGAGACTAGAAAGGCCTATGGAAATTGTGCACTGCACTCAGATATAACAATTGGACTTTCTTAAAGTAAATCTGTTGCATTTCATGGAAGAGACAAGAAAGAATCATGAAGCTGATTTGACTAATAAGAGAAATACATTGAGTGAACTTGAAATTGCAAAACGTTTCACCACATTCCTCCATGGCTAGTTTTGACAGATCAGAATGTGTGCTTTCACCTGTTTTTGTAGACTTGTACAGCTTTGACATCTCCTGTCTGGGAACAGTGGAAGAAAAAGTCATTCTTGACGGGGTACCAGCTATGGGTTCATGTTCCTGTAATACCAAAATGAAAACAAAACCTTTGTAAGTACTGACAATAACGATGGCAAACTACTCAGAGGATCACATGGTGTAAGTGTTAGGATCCTGCCCTCACTCCTGCACATGTGCAGCTCAGGGTCTTGTGTCTTACGTCATCAGGGGGTGCTCGCGACTACGTATGGCACAGCATGGTCACTCAATCTGTGCCTTAAAAGCCTGATGCTGACCCTCTCTTTCTGCTCTCTGCTCTGCGCTGCCACCAGCGCCAGTTATCATCCTTTCAGTAATCCCTGTCCTGGGTACTATAAGTTGAACAATAATCAGAAAAAAAGAGATAAAGGATAGAGATATTGATTCGGAAGTATACATCTAGATAGAAATATATAACTATAGAAATTGATTATATACATCAATAACAAAAGATAGCACAAAGCTCCTTGGGCTTAGAATACATACATACATACATACATACATACATACATACATACATACATATTTAATGATTTATTTGGAATATGTATTACTTAACGATGTATTTGTTTTTATTTTGTGTGTTCAAGTATTCTGCTGCATATATGTGTGTACACCAGAGGCACTGCCCCTGAGGCCAGAAGAGAGTATTGCATCCCTGGAACTGGAGGTATGGATGGTCATGAGCTGCTATGAGGGTGCTGGGAACTGAACCTATGTCCTCTGCAAGAGCACTAAATCCTCATAACCACTGAGTAATCTCTCCAGTCCCAGAACTTAAATTATTAACAAATACCCAAGCTGACTCAAGTTTGCCACCTTTCAGATCAGGAAGAAAAGCTATCTAGTCACACAAATAGTGTGAACAGACTGATAGGAGAATACCTTCTCTCTTGTCTATGGCCATACCACCCTAACTGTGCCCAATCTCCACTGCTCTCAGAAGCTAAGTAGTGCAAGAACTGGTTATTACTTGGATGGGAGAACAACCTTCTCTATAGCATGTACCACCACTTAGCTGTGAGCTAACAGAATGTGATGGTTACAAACAAATCTGATCAGTTGGTTTCAGTGAGCACTATACAATTTTCTACCTTCCCAAACTTGTTGGTATATGACTAGAAGTGCTTTTTCCACTAGGAAATGGTGTAACTGTATTGTTTAGGCCTTTAAAGTTGATCTCTACACAACTGTTCTGAATCAACATGTTTACATATGATAGGATCTGATTTTGAAATTGGGAGGAATGCTAGCTTTGAGCTCAAATTTTTAAAGTTAATAGTCACAACGTATAAGTAATGAGTTAAAATTAAAAGGGCATTCACTTATAGGGCTCTTTACTATGTGCAGCTCCAGGCATCCACAGAGACTCTTGTAATGTAGTCTCTGTTGGGAAAGGGGCCTATTGTGTTTATAGTTTGATTCTCATTTATGAAAATCATATGCATGTACTTAAAGGTGCAATATATAGTTGCTCAGTTTTTACCCTATTGGTTATCTCTGTTTTATTGTTGTTGTTTGTAGTGATAGGGCTGTTGTTGTTTTATCTACTTCTTTTTATGCAACCAATTTCATGGAATCCTGCTTTAGAATATTTAGGGCAAGGCTTGATTTATAGACTATCTTCATATCCATTACTTTTCATAAATGCTTCAAGAGCACCAAGGCTGTCACATTTGTGTGAATACAAATAAAGACCCTTAAAGAAGAATTGTTCTTGATTAATGCTCCCAATAAGAGATGGTCACTGCATGTCTGACATAATTCCCAGTGCAAGCTTAGTCAGTGGCTCCACTAACCTTTACTGGAATTTCCAAGTCTGGCTCATAATTTGACTCATATCTTGGTTCCTTGGTCTCAGACCTAGCTTCAGCTCTGGTCTTCGTTTTTTTGAGAAAGTGTGATACAAAGCCCTTTTGCCTCTGTTTCGCCACATTGATCCAAGCTGGTTCTGTAGTGTAATCTGCCTTCCAATTAGAGGTCTTTCCTGAAAAAGAAATGAAAAGAATTAGAACGGAAGCTAGGCAGAGGGTCATCAGTCTGGGTGAGGTTGCCCACAATAGTGTTCCAAGTGGGATCCTTTCTGGTTGCCAAACAAAAATAGATAGCATTTAGAGAAGGGCCATTCTCTTTTGTACCCTTCCTACAAACTGGGAAGGCAAGATTAAATAGTTAAATAGTTGTGGATCCCTTACTGAACCCTTTCTTTCCTTTAGCTATCCCTCTTCACATTCCCAAATCAGGGCAAGACAATGGTTGACAGGCTGAGAAAATTCTCAAGATGCCAGAGACTCAGACCATTGATATAATCCCTCAAACTCTAAGAAAAATCTTATAGTCTGTTACTTCTTTGTCCCTTGTGCAAGTGTCATGGTGAAATAGCTGTGACCAGAGGCAGAGACAAGACTATGCACGGGTGATACCGAGGGCACAACGTTTTTGGAAAAAAAGTAGTACTCAGCAGGTCACCTTGATCTGGATTAAATTAAGATGATTTCAGGGTAAGAGTGTAAACATATTGCTCTTAATGAACTGAGTTTTGGAGATCTGTTTGGCAGATTAAAGTGACATGGTGTATTAAAGTTATTATTATTTTTTTTAGAAACTCATAGGAGTCTGCCCAAAGAATACTACACATGAGTTAGATGGAGAAGGAAGAGGAGGTGATTATGAGTATATTAATGAAATGTGCATGGATGTTGGAACTGCTGCATCCTTGGAAAAAGGAAGACTACAAAGAAGTTCCTTCTGAATCTACTCATCCAGGATGGGGCACTGCCCCACCTCTAAACCCACAACTAGTCCTGTCAAAGCAACAGTACAGTAGGAAGCCTAGAGGCTAGAGAGTTCACAGTCCATCCATCCAAGGCTTTGCCTTGCAGGTCTTTCCTCTACCTGGAGGGACAAAACTCTCACCTGGAGGCCTGTAAACTGCTGGCTTCTTGAAAGGGCCTTCATATCTGGGCCTGCTCCCTTGTTTTTCTGCAAAGCGAAGTATTTGGCTGAAATTCCCTAGGCTTCCACTGAAGCCCTGGGGAGCTCCTTTGTCCATCCATTCTTTGCTTGCTGGGACAACTGGCGTGCAAGGATCTAGATTCTCAGTTCCACCCTTCTGTGAAATTCTTCGAAGTCGCACTCCAAAAACATTTTCGACATCAGCCTTGCTGGTGGATATGACCGAAGGGCTCTCGTTTCCATCAGGACCCTGAGGAACTTCCTCCTTGGAGTAAGCGCCTGTGGAAACGAATGCTTTCTGGGCAGGACCAGTAGTGAGCTTTCCAGGTTTGGGAACAGAAGTTGGGGTGCTTTGAATGAGGTCCCCATAGCCTTGTGTGTATTTCGTGGCTTTCTTTGGAGAATCTGGGCAAGACCAGCTGCCAGTATTTTGAGAAATGGTCCCTTCAGCAGCAGCATTAGCAGAGCTTAAATAAACTTGTTGCTGATAGTCAGTGATCAAGAAAGCCTGAGTAGGCTGACCGGGAGCCCAATGCCCCTCGGGATAGCTCCAGTCCACAGGAACATTTGCAGAGCCTGTTGATAAAATCGGAGGCTGCTGCCCAGCTACATTGAAGGCCTGAGAAGGCTGTGTGGAAGGCAGCTGTTCTTCAGACCTCACCCACTTTTTGGGAAAACTGACTGAAACTGAGACTTTCTGGCCATACTCAAGCTTTCCGAGGGGCTGAGAGACATCCACCGCAGAACTGCTCCACTTCGCAGGGGCACCCTCAGAATATGACAGAATTTCCTGTGACTCTTCGGGCCTTCTGAGTGGCTGTGAAGGCTGCTTCATGGGCAGAGCCTTCAAAGCGGTGTCTTCCTTGGGTTCATCATCCCAGTTATATAGGAAAGTTTGCTCCTCGAGTTTGGGCTTCAACAAGGATCTGGAAGGACGGCTTCGGCTCTGAAGCATAGGCTTCGTGTAAATGTCCGTCTCACTAGCAGTGGTCCCTGAAAAGATTTGCTCTGCCATAAACTTCACAAATGACTGGGAAGAAGAGCTGCTGCCCTGTGGTTTCTTAGAGCTGTCTTGAGCAGTAACACTCTCTAGGCTGGAGGACATTTCCTGAATTTTAGGTCTCATTAAGAATGGGGTGGGACCTTTGAGAGGCAGTGACTTCCAAGGAATGCCTCCCTCAACAGAGGTACTCTCAAAACTTGAGGGTGTTTTCTGGACTTGATGTTTGATAATGATTTGGGAAGGATTTCTGGAAAGCCATGCCTCCTTAGAAACATCCCCCTCTTTGGCAAAACCTTCTAGATTTGAGGTTTGTTGCTCAAATGCAGGGCCCAGCCATGGCTGAGTAGCAAATTTGGAAGGCATTGGCTTGATAGGAGTGCCCCATTCTCCAGAAGTTCTCACTGAATCTGGGGAAATTTCTTCACTGGATCCTGTGCTTATTGGGGGCTGAGAATGACGTCTTCTAGGCCTCATCATTACAGAAACTCCCTCCTCTGCTGTATAACTCTCTGGATCTACTCTTGGCTGGAAAGGGAATCTAGAAGGAATTAGCTCCACGGAGCTGCTCTGTGGTGCCGAAATGCTCACTAATTCAGTGGAGACTGGTTGTTTGACTACTGACCCCACCAAGGGCTGAGAAAGCATTCTGGTAGCTGGTGGATCAACAGGAATGCCCCAGGCTGTCGCCGCAGCACTGTCTGAGGGCACAGTGACTTGTTCAAATGAAGAAGTCGGCCATGGCTGCAAAGGGTGTCTAGAAGACATTGGCTCTACAGTGATGATCTGTTGTGCAGATGTGTTCATGGGTCCTGAGGAAACTGGTTGTTGGCCTACTGATCCCATCAAGGGCTGAGAAGGCATTCTGGGAGCTGGTGGATAACTATGAATGGACCATGCAGAAGGAACATTGCCAGGGGGTACAGATACTTGCTCAAAGGTAGGAGTCAACCATGACTGGGAAGGGCATCTGGGGGAACCTGGCTGCATAGAGATGCCCCCTTGGGCTTCAGGGCTATCTAGACCTGTAGGCACTTGCTTAAATTTAGGGCTAGCCTGTGTTTGGAAGATATGTTGAACAGATACTGGTTCCATAGGGCTGCCCCATTGAGTGGAAGCGCTCACTGGATCTTGGGTCATCTGTGGCTGAAATTTGGACTTTACTGAAGGCTGAGGAGGCAGTAGCTCCACCAAAGTGGCACCTTCTACAGAGGTATTTTCTGAGGCTAGATGACTTTGAGGATTTGGTAAAGACTGAGCAGAATATTTGGTGTGCAGTGGGCCCATTGAAATTATCTTTGCAGCAACAGCTTCAGATTCTAAAGGCACATTTTGATAAGGCTGCTGCACAGGCTGCGAAAGGGTAGGACGCCCATGCTCCGTAGAAGGGTTCCCTTCAAAAGCTGTGCTCTCTGGAGTTGAAAATGATCGCTTCCCTTGAGACTTTGTCCATGGCTGGAAAGGGTGTGCCCGAAGCCTTGGATCCATAGAAACACCTCTTTCAAAAGCAGAAACCTGGTGCTGGATGAAGGGTTTCAACAGGGGCTGAGAATGATGCTGAGGAGGCAGGGGCTCCATAAAACGGCTTCCCTCAAATGCAGCACTTTCTGCACCCAGTGATATTTCCTTCTTGATGTTTGATCTCACCAAGGGCTGGGAAGAGTATCTGGGAGGCTGTGAAGCAATACGATCTTTAAAAACAGCAAGCTCTGGGCCTGCAGAAACATCTTTCTCAAGTACTGGTCTGATTGGGGGCTGAGAATGGTGTTTGAGAACCAGAGCCTCCACAGAAGCCACCTCTCCCATGGTCGAAATGTCTGTATTCGAGGGTACATTTTGCTCAACATTGTACCCCACTGGGTGCATCAAAGCCTTTCTAGGGGACGGTGACTGCGTATACTTGTCCCAGTCAGCAGCAATGCCCTCTGGACCTGCAAACATTTGATGCTCAGACTGAGGGCTCACCCACGGCTTGACAGTGTGGCTGAGAGGCAGCGGTGCCACAGATCTGTTCTGTCCTACAGAAATGTTCATTGAAATGGGGGGTTGCTGCTGAATAATAGGGCTCACAATGGGTAGAGATGTGTGCATGGGGCGCAGTGGCTTAGCAGAAACACTCAACTCTTTTGGAGCACTCTTTGAAACTGGAGGCACTTCTTGCTGGTCTCTGAACTGACCCCGGGTCTGTTTGGAACATTCAGGAGGCTGCTCATCCTCCGTGCTGCTAAGATCCTCAGAACTGTGGTACTTCTCAACATAACTACTTGACTCTGTGGAGACTTCCTTTTCTTCAGATCCCTGCAAGGCCTGGGAATGTCTCCTGGGAGACAACTGCTCTTGAGAGATGGAATCTATGGTAAAACTTCTTGATTCTGAGCATTCTTCAAACTCCCCCAAGGACTGGGAAGAGTGGGCAGATGTCATCTCCTCACAGCTTCTCTGATCTTCTGAACTTTCTAGGTCTAAGGAGACTTCTCTAGCTTTGGGTTTTCCAAATGACTGGGAGCAATAGCCGAGAGGGGGCTGCCGTTCCACCTTGCTCAGTTCTGCACTTACATTTTCTGATTTGAGGAAGACATCATCATCATCTTGAGGGCTCCATGTGAGCTGAAAAGAACGTGTGGGACCCGGTTGCACTTCAGAACTACTCTCATACTCTGAAGAACTCTTTGTATCAGAGGAGATTTCCCTTTCAGTTGGCCACCTTCTGAAAGGAAGAGGCAGTCTCTGCATAGGAACGTCATCTTCTGTGTTAGCGCTTGAAACACTTGCTGAAAAAGCCTGAAGAGAACCTCTGGCATGCCTCTCTCTGTGGTAAGCTGTGCTCTCCATTTTGGGTTGAAACTTTTGCAAACCAAGACTGGATGCTTCTTCCTTTTCTCCACGGACTTGAGAATGATGTACACATGCCTGGACCTCTATTGTTCTCGAGACAGTGGCCTCTTCTTGGCTTGTAGATTTGTTTAGCCATGACAACAAAGCAGCTCTATCCCTGTTCTTCTTGCCTTCAGAAGAGCCTTCTTCACGGCTGGGTGGTGGACCATCAACCGTGGACTCGGCCACATTTGTAGGTGTTGGTTGTGGTGCTGCTGTTCTTTGGACTTCAGCATTTATGGCAGCCATTTCCCCCTTCACATCTCTTTTATCTGCAGACATCTCCTGAGGAGTGGTAAGTTGCACTTCCGCAGTTGTGGTGTGCTCTTTGCCTTGCTTCTCCAGGAAGAGCGTCAAGAAAGAGTGGTCCCTGCTGACCACCTCTTCACTAGGCGAGGAATCAGTTTTACTGCCTTGGTCATACTCTTGAGGACATTGTGCAAGGCTTCTGTCGATGATCCCCCACTCACTTTTGGCCCTTCTTCTACGTCTTCTTGGTTGGAATCCTTGGGATCCTGAAGTCGAGTGTCCTGTACTTGAGGCACCATCGGTACTTAGAGTCTGCTCTCTTGTCTTCTTATCCTGAGCTTCAGTTTTGTAGCTCTGCTCCTGGCTTGAGGGCCCTGTACCAAATGTAAAAAGGAAAGGAGAGATGTGTGTGCTTTCGATTTCCTAAAAGAGTACTCCTCCTCCCTGGCTAAGTTTACTACTAAATTCCCTGATATGAAGATGTAACTATGCAGAAGACATTCCCCTGTTCACTATTAGCTTTAAGTTGTGGGAAATGTTTATATCAAAGGGAAATTTCAATCCTATGAGCAGATAGCACTTCATCAGTAGTCTGATTGACCATTAGGTGTGAGATTCAAAAAGAGGCAAATTGTAATTTTGTAACAATGTTTACATTTGAGAAATTTGACTGGAGCAGGAGCAAGAATTCTTTTAAAATGACTTTCATATTATTATTTTATGCATGTGGATGTTTTGCCTGCATGTATGTCTGTGCACCACATATGTGCCTGGTGTCTGGAGAGGCCAAAAGAGGGCCTCAGATCCTCTGGAACTGGAGTTACAGATGTGGGTGAGCCTCCAAGTAGGGAAACGAAACTGGGTCCTCTGGAAGGGTAGCAATTGCTCTTAATATCTGATCTGTCTCTCCAGCCCAGCAAGGGAAAATTTTTACTTTCTGATTAATATTCTTATTTTCTATATAGTACTTATCCAAACGTCTTGAAATTCTGTATTATATGGATTCATGGATTTTTTTCAGAAAAATGTCAAAGGAATTATTTGAGAGGTTAAGATGATGGCCCCCTTTTTCTTCTGTTTTCTACCTCCTTGCCTTAAGACAGTCCTGTGTAACACACATGTAAAGCAGTTCTTTGAATACCCTCAAAGCAGAACTCCCAACACCTCAGCAATTGCATCTGTGTAAGTGCTCTGATATAGATATGCTAAGATGAAAGGGTAGATTATTTAATCAACTTTTAAAGAGCAACAACTTGTTTTAAATGTTTTACATTGCTATGGATTTTAGTTTACTGATACAAATTTAAAGTTAATTTTGTTATACTATATATATATATATATTTCTATTCTTGTTTAAGGTATTATGTTCATGCAACTCATTTAAAATTGTAATGTATAATTAAGAAATACTAATTAATAACTAGTCAGCTTTGACAATCAAACTTATAGTCATGTTAGTTAAGTTTTTAGGTATATAAAGATATATTTCAATTAGGTAGGTAATCTTCAAACACTTACAGAATATGGCATTTAAAATGTTTTAAAAACTTAGACTTTTCTGAACAATGAGACACGTCTGCTCCTGGCAGCACCAATTACTTCAAGGAAGATGAGCATCAAAGACACTCCATATGGAGTTTATCTTCTTCTTGGCAAAATTAGCCATTTGGGCAAGAGGCTGCTCTTGCCTGGACTGCTGATAATATGTTGTATAAACTGGACATACAGGACCCATAGGAAAATGACCACTGAATTTGCCAAAACAAGGCAAAATGGTTCTTCAGGTTCCTGCTTTGCAGAGGAGACTGCCAGACATTCTACAGGACACAGGAAAAATGACTGAGAGACTAGGCCTGTGGGCTGAAGATGGATGACCCAACGTTGCAGAGGAACTTTGAGGGACTGTCCAGGTAACCAGCCATCTCCATCATTCTAGACTTTTGGAAGTTGCTTACAATGCCCTTCCTGTTTACTTAGGTAATATTATATCCTTCTAGGGTCTTTGATGTAGTTGAAGATGAGATAGTTATAATTATAATTTTCCTTGGTTATGATAAAAGATAAATTCGATATAAAACTTTAGACTCACACAATAGGATAGATGGCAGAATATTTTCTTTAAACTTGCCAAATACAAATAGACTAGATATTGTAACTATAATTCTTGCTTGATAACTGTTTTGCTTTATGCAATTTTACTATGATAAAGTTAAACCCTTCCTTTTGATTAGACAGAAAAGGGGAAATGCTGTAAGATAATACTCTTGTACATTGGTTTAATAAAATGCTGATTGGCCAGTAGCCAGGCAGGAAGTATAGGCAGGGCAAGCAGACTAGGAGAATGCTGGGAAGAGGAAGGGCAGAGGAGGAGTCACCAGCCAGACACAGAGGAAGCAAGATGAGAAAGCAGAATTGAGAAAAGGTACCAAGCCATGTGGCTAAATATAGGTAAGAATTATGGGTTAATTTAAGTGTGAGAGCTAGTCAGTATTAAGCTTCAGCTAATGGCCTCTGAGTGGTTATTTTATAAGCAGCTGTGGATCCAAGGGGGCCAGGTGGGACCTGAGAAACCTTCTGAATACAAGTGCTTTTTTCAGGACTTTTTCTTGTGCAGTTTGATCTAGGTGGTAAAGCCCCAGTTGTGGTTCCTTCCTCACAGACATTGAGTCAGTCGTGCCACCTAGTGGTTGCATATACAGCATACAGCACAAAGAAGAGCTTCTGCTCTTTCTAGATCAGGCCTTTCCTGTGCAACAGCAACCAAGGTAGACCAGGGATATTGACTCAGCTCTGTCTCCATGGGTGAAAAATGAGATTACGCTCTTAATCCATGTCCCTTTCTTCCTCCTTCTTGTCCTTCTTTGAAAGACTTTTTTAGTGTTTTGTTTGTCTGGGTCATGCTTAAAGAAGCCCTATCTTTGAAACCACATGTGAAATCATTTATAGAAAACCCTGATAACCATTCAATTTAAGTGATGGAACTGAAATTTAATTTTGTGAAACACTGCACAAAATTAGCTTGCCATCTAGCTAAAACTAAAATCCATCCATGCACATATGCAAACACACATACACAGAGTTTTCACTCTGATGGTATTCGTTTGGAAATTGATTAGGTGATGGCTGCCAAGGATATCTGGCTGCAACTGCAGACGAGCTCTAGTAGCCGTAAATATGTGAAGTCACTGTGAACAGCAAACCTTCTCCTCTATACTGGAAGAGAAAGGTGATTCCTATGAGAATGGCTCTAGTAGCCGTAAATATGTGAAGTCACTGTGAACAGCAAACCTTCTCCTCTATACTGGAAGAGAAAGGTGATTCCTATGAGAATGATTTGGGAGAGCCAGTTCAGTTTGTTCCTATCTTCTTATGTTGTTGGGGAAGAATACTGAAGAGGCCGTCACGAGCTGCATCACTCAGCAAGCATATTCACTTGAAAGAATTGAACACATTTACAAAGAATTCGCCTCTCCAGTTGAAAATTCACTTAGATAGGATAGAAAACCACGTGTAATCCTTTCCACAAAGCCTGTACAAACATTGTTTTTGCCAGTTTAGCTGGAGAATCTCGGACTGTACTTGCATGAACCTCTTTTTTAATTAAAAGCTTTGTTTTTGTGATTCTTTTAAATTATATGTATGGGTATATACCTCAGAAAAGGTCCTCAGCTCTTTTCACTAGTAAGCTAGGCAGAAAGCAGAAGGACAGAGAATCACACAAAGTCTCTCACAGTGGAGATCCTGCTTCCCTGGTCGTGGTGAGGTGTCTTGGGGCCTAATGCATGCATAAGCTTTCATTATTTTTTAATTATGTCTATGGGTATGTGCAGGTAGGTGCCCACAGAAGTCACACTGTCAGATTCCCCTGGGGCTGGAGTTACACACAGTTGGGAGCTGCCTTATTTGAGTGCTGAGAACCAAACTGAGGTCCTCTGAAAGGGCAGTACATGCTCTTAGCTGCAGAACCCTCTCTCCAGCTCACTTGTATACACAGGACATTGAAAATCCCAAGAGGACCCAGGGTAGCAGCCCTGGAGGCATTTTTGTTTATAGCTCCCACCACACTGTACTGTGCATCAAAGCCAGAGATCCACGGGCCGGCAGTGAAGGTATGCTAACCTGTGTTGTCCTTCTTCTGCTCCTTTTGGTCTGCTTGTTTCGGCTTGGTTATAGCCTTTTCTTTAATCCCCAGCAAAGGATACTGCTCTTCCTGCTTTTCTTTGGCCTGAAACAAAGTTTAAAAAAAAAAAACAAAGAACTTCATTCTATTGGCATGGTCCTCAGACCTTTATACCAGTGAGCTAGGCAGAAGGCAGAATGTCAGAAGGGTCGCAGGTCGTCTCCCATAATGGAGAGCCTGCCTCCCTGGGTTGTGGTGAGGTGTCCAGGGACCCAATACCTGTATAGGCCTTGGCCCCTTCTTTCTCCTCCCTCCAAATATGTCCACATATTCCTTCTTGATCTCTTTCAAATTCATGGCCTATTTTGTATTAATTATTATTATTGTGTGCATATATATACATATATACATATATATTCCTAACTATTACCTGTTCCCTCTATATAATGTTACTTATATGTATGTTTTCAGGGCTGACCATTTGGTATTGATAAATCAATTGATATGCTTTTCCCCCAAGGAAGACTCTTTCTCCCGATCTTAGTAGTCCTTAGTTGCCTGTAGTTCTTTGTGTAGGGTTGGGCCCTCACGGGTTTTCTCTCAGTCACTGTGGCATGTCTATGGATGTGTCATTGTTCAGCCCATGTTTAGGCTGTCATGTTAGTGAGACATCATAGGTGTAGCGTCTGAAAGACAGAGGCAACTTTGGATGAGTACCTGCATTATTTGTACTTTCATGCTCTCCCTATAAAATATTTGTGCTAGCCAATCTTCGGGTCTCTTCCATCTATTTTAGTCCAGAATACCCAAAGAATTAATTGGGTATTTGATGGCAAAATTGTTTCTGCTGACACATCCTTTTAAACACCAGTATCTTTGATTTCTTAACTTTAATTGGAAATCTCTTACAAAAGCATTAGCTCTTTGCTTTCCTTTTTAAAGGTTTATATTACATTCATTTATTTATGTGTGTTTGTGTGTGCACACTCATATACAAATGTATGTGCATGTGCCACAGAGAGTGTGTGGAGACCAGAGGACAACATGCAGGAGGCTAATCTTTCCTTGTACCCTTCTTTTTATATGGGTATTGAGGATCAAACTCAGGTCCTCATGCATGTGATTTTATTTATTTATTTATTTACTTATTTACTTATTTATTTATTTATTTATCTATCTATTTCTTTATTCATTCTACACCCCAGCCACAGTTTCTCCTCCCTCCTCTCTTCCCAGTCCCTACAACCCTGCCTCCCCTATTCCATTCCCACCCCCCAGCATCCACTCCTCCATTTCTATTCAGAAAAGTGCAGGCCTCCCATGAATATCAACAAAACATGGTATATCAAGTTGCAGTAAGACTAAGCACCTCCCCCATGTATTAAGGCTGGGCAAGCCGACCTAGTATAAGGGGTAGGGTCCCAAAAATGAGCCAAAGCATTAGGGACAGCCCCCGCTCACACAGTTAGGAGTTCCACAAGAACACCAAGTTACATAACCATAACATTTATGCAGAGAGCTTAGGTCAATCCCATGCAGGCTCCCTGGTTGTCAGTTTAGTCTCTAAGTCCCGATGCAAAAATACTCAACAAAATACTCACAAACTAAATCCAAGAACACATCAAAAAATTCATCCACCATAATCAAGTGGCCTTCATCCCAGAGATGCAGGGATGGTTCAATATATGAAAATCTGTCATGTGATCCACCATATAAACAAACTGAAAAAAAAACCACATGATGATCTTGCTAGATACTGAAAAAGCCTTTGACAAAATCCAACACCCCTCATAATAAAAGTCTTGGAGAGATCAAGGATACAAAGGACATACCTAAACACAATAAAAGCAATATACAGCAAGCCGACAGCCAACATCAAATCAAATGAAGAGAAACTCAAAGCAGTTCCACTAAAATGAGGGGCAAGACAAAGCAGTCCATTCTCTCTGTATTTATTCAATATAGTACTTGAAGTTTTAGTTAAAGCAATAAGACAACTAAAAGAGATCAAAGAGTTATAAACTGGAAAAAAAAGAAGTTAAAGTATCGTTATTTGCAGATGATATAATAGTATACATAAGAGACCCAAAAAATTCTACCAGGGAACTCCTACAGCTGATAAACATCTTCAGCAAAATGGATGGTTATAAAATTAACTTAAAAACTCAGTAGTTCTCCTATATACAAATGATAAATGGGCTGAGAAAAAAAATCAGGGAAACAACACCCTTCACAATAGCCACAAATAATATAAAGTATCTTGGGGAAACTCTAACCAAGCAAGTGAATGACCCGTATGACGAGAACCTCAAGTCTCTGAGAAAGAAATTGAAGAAGATATCAGAAGATGGAAAGACCTCACATTCTGATGGATAGGTAGGATTAACATAGTAAAAATGGTCATCTTACAAAAAGCAATCTACAGATTCAATGCAATCCCCATTAAAATCCTAACACAATTTGTTGTACAATGTTATTTTAAGATGTGTTACTTTTTTAAGCTGTGGAATCATTTGTTTAATTATGCAAAAATGTGCGGCATTATTTTATCTTGCATTTGTTTAACACTGTGAAGCTGTGTTACATTCCTGTCTAAAACACCTGATGGTCTAATAAAGAGCTGAATGGCCAATAGTGAGGCAGGAGAAAGGATAGGCGGGGCTGGCAGGCAGAGAGTATAAATAGGAGAGATCTGGGAGGAAAAGAAGTAGCTAGAGAAGAAGGAGGATGCAAGGGTCCAGCCACCCAGCTACACAGCCAGCCATGGAGTAAGAGTGAAAGTAAGAATTACAGAACTAAGCAAAAGGTAAAAGCCCAGGGGCAAAAGGTAGATGGAATAATTTACAGTTAAGAAAAGTTGGCAAGAAACAAGCCAAGCTAAGGCCAGGCGTTTATAAGTAATAATATGCCTCTGTGTGTGATTTATTTGGGAGCTGAGTAGCAGACCCCTAAAAGAGCAAAAGCAAACAACAACAACAACAATCCTTTACAGACCTTGAAAGAATAATACTCAACTTCATATGGAAAAACAAAAAAACAAGGATAGCTAAAATAATCCTACATAATAAAAGAACTTCTGAAGAATCACCATCTCTGATTTTGAGCTGTACTACAGAGCAATAATAATTAGAAACCTCATGTTTTTAATTGCTTAAAAACAGACAGATTAATCAATGGAATCAAATCAAAGACCTAGAAGTAAATCCACACACCTATGAACACATGATTTTCAACAAAGAAGCAAAATTATACAATGGAAAAAAGAAAGCTGGTCAAACTGGATGTCTGCATGTAAAAGAATGGAAATAGATCCATATTGATCACCCTGAACAAAACTCAAGTCCAAGTGGATCAAAGACCTCAATATAAAACCAGATACACTGAACCTGATAGAAGAGAAAGTGAGGAATAGCCTTGAACACAGGTGATATTTAAGAAAACATTTTAAAAATATGTTTTTATTTTAATTATGTGCCTTTGTGTGGGTCTGTACATGTGTATCTGCAGGTACCTAAAGAGTCCAGAAGAGGACATTGAATTACTGAAGCTGAAGTTACAGGTAATTGTAAGCCACCTGACATGGGTACTGACAGCATATGAGCTGTCAACCGTTGAGCCATCTCTCCAAACCCCACTGCCATGATTCTAACTTCCTAGCTTTGCCTAAATATAGCTCTGCTTGCTAGTAACTCATACAGAACTCTGTGGCAACATGTGGAGGTCTTTGGAATAGTTATCACCTGAATTCTGAATGATTGGAGTTGCTGAAAGCTTGGTCTCAAGATGAGTGGAGCAACACAGCAGTTTATAACTCATGGGTCTCATATGATCAATCAATAAATAAGTAAATGAGTCTTCATCCAGACTAGGCTTGAATACCCTCTGCAGAGAGGACTGAGGGGATTTCCAGGCATTAAACCAATAAGTAGGTTGTACAGGGTTAACTCTGCTTCTGCTTTCCCTTTTATAGAAGTGTCAAATAGATAGGACATTTCATGCAACCAACAGTCTTTCTCACCCACTACATGCATCAAGGTCAAGACAATGTGGTATATACATTACTATTCCTACTGGGTCACCCATCAACTGTGTCCAGCCTGTAGCCCTCATGCAGCACATGGTCACACTTGGCCAGGGATATCTCTGAATGTGGCCCAACAGAAAACCACAAACTTAGAGCATGATGAGATATTTTGGGCATCTTTTTTTTTTAAAAATTCAGTTGCATGGTTCTGAAGCATAAACTTTGTAGATAACAATGCCATGGCCCAGTGTCTGAAGGGCAGACACATCTATACACATACAGTTTCCTAACAGCAGTGGGTACAGGCCAGAACTCATCTTTTCTCACAGTTTGATGCAGGATCTCTTGAGAGACTTACAGACAAGGAAATGGTCTTCTTCCTCTTCAGTTTCCGGGGGCTTAAAGCTATCTTGTATTTAGCAGCTGAAGAATCCAAGCAGCCTTGTGAAGTGGCTGGGGTACTGAACCCCGAGGGCTGCTGAGTGCTGCTTTGAGAGGATTGTGATAGATCTGAGGACAGTTCCGAGATGCTCTGTAGTGTGGAAAAAAATACATGAATCAATCTATGCGGATGCTGCCACTGCCCTTGAAGCCAGAAATGCTTCTTCCTTGCTAAGGAATGCCTAAGAAAACCTTTCATGGATGACTGCTCTCTTTCTTTCCCCTTTCTGTATAAATGCCACACTTTGGTTCCTTTGTAAATGAAAGCAAGAAATATGAAGAAATTGGGGGTGCCCCCTCACTCAGGAAGCAACCAGAGGTGTCCTGTTGCCCTCACAATTAGAACACAAGCACATAGTGGAGTTTACAAGGTGGAATGTTTGTTTGTTCTTGTGTCCCATCTTTCCTTATTAGTGACAGGAAGACATCTGGCTAGGGAGCGAGGTGCATCCTTGTATGAACGAAACTCTATGGGGCTTCAGGGCTGAAGTGTTGGACATTTAGGTGCAGAAAGAAAATCCAGTTGAAAGAAGGCCTATTTGCAAGCTGCGTTTTCATAGAGAGCCCACTAACTTTACACTCTCCACTGTTGTGGAATATTAGTTGTTTTTTTTTTTTTTTTTTTTGGTTTTTCAAGACAGGGTTTCTCTGTGTAGGTTTGGGAGCCTGTCCTGGAACTCGCTCTGTAGCTCAGGCTGGCCTCGAACTCACAGAGATCCGCCTGCCTCTGCCTCCCAAGTGCTGGGATTAAACCGCCTGGCTTTTCTTAACTTCTTTATGCAACTGTCATCCATTAATTTATAAACACCTCTTCCCAGTATAATTTGGCTTGTGTCATCACTTACAATTACTAATTGACTGCTCAGCACATGGAATAACTTCCCTTGTTTTATTGTTCTGAGCTTCATAAAGATCATCTTATGGTTCTGGCCTCTTAGGAGTGTATGATAAGATCTATGCCCCAGTTAACCTCACATGACTGTGTCTCTCTCTGGTTTCTCTGTCCTAAACTTTCTACCATTTGCTGATCCAGAAACACTGTTAATTTGCTGCTCTGCAGTCTAAACATGCTCTCCAGAGGCTTTTGTACTGATAGGCATGTTATCCACCATGTCCATGTATGTAAGCTCCCTCACTTATGTATGGTCTCTGCTCAGAATCTGTCTTCTCATGGAAGCCTTCCAAAGCCAACCTACTTAAACATTTTATCATTGGTGTGTGTGTGTGTGTGTGTGTGTGTGTGTGTGTGTGTGTGTGTGTGTGTGTGTGTGTACACTGTGTGCTGTGCATGTGTATGCAGGTGGCCTTGCCCATTTGTGCACCCATGAAGGCCAGAGGTCAACACATCAGATGTCTTCCTCTATCACTCTCCACTGTTGTGGAATATTAGTTGTTTTTTTTTTTTGGTTTTTCAAGACAGGGTTTCTCTGTGTAAGTTTGGGAGCCTGTCCTGGAACTCGCTCTGTAGCTCAGGCTGGCCTCGAACTCACAGAGATCTGCCTGCCTCTGCCTCCCGAGTGCTGGGATTAAAAGGCATGTGCCATCACCGCCCGGCTCATGGAATATTAGCTTAAGATGTGTTACATTTGTTTATACTGTGGAACATTTGTTTAATGATGTAAAGATGTGTGGCATTATTTTGTCTTGCATTTGTTTAACTCTGTGAAGCTGTGTTACTATGCCTATCTAAAACACCTAATTGGTCTAATAAAGAGCTGAACAGCCAATAGCAAGGCAAGAGAAAGGATAGGTGGGGCTGGCAGGCAGACAGAATAAATAGGAGAAATCTGGGAGGAAAAGCAGTAGCCAGAGAAGGGAAGAGGACATAAGGGGCCAGCCACCCAGCTACACAGTCAGTCATGGAATAAGAGTGAAAGTAAGAAATACAGAACTAAGAAAAAGATAAAAAGCCCAGAGGCAAAAGGTAAATGGGGATAATTTAAAGTTAAGAAAAGTTGGCAAGAAACAAGACAAGCTAAGGCCAGGCATTCATAAGTAAGAATAAGTCTCTGTGTGTTTATTTGGGAGCTGGGTGGCAGCCCCCAAACAAGAAAAAAAAAACAACTACACTCCACCTAATTTCTTGAGACAAGGTCTCTCAATGAACTTAGAACTTGCCATTTTGGCTAGACTGGCTGGTGAGGCCCTGGGATCCATCTGTCTTTGCCCCCTCCCCCTGGCACTGAGGTTACAAATATATGTGATGCCCAACTGGTTTTTCCATAGGCTCTGAGTTCAGGTTCTCATGCCTGTACAGCAAGCGCTTTACCCACTGAACCATCTCCCCAGCTCCACCTCTTTCTTGCATCGTTTTTTCCCCAACACTTTCATCACTGTCTTATGTATGTTTTCTTTCATAATCTCTTTCATTGTCCATATTTTCCATTACAGTTTGAGCTCCATAAAGAAGAAATTTCATGTTTTCAGTTTGTCTGTTTGTTCTGTGCATCTGTGTGCACAAGCATGCACACATAGGCCAGAGGACAAGTTCAGATGTTGCTGCTCGGGTGCTAGCTGCCTTTTCCCTTTGAGAAAGGGTCTCTCATTGGCCTAGAACTCACGATGTAGGTAGGCTATTTTGGGTAGCTGGCAAGCTTCAGGGATCCACCTGTCTCCACCTCTTCAGTGCTAAGATTATAAGTAAATGCCACCATACCTGGCTTTTTCTTTTGTCTTTTTTAAGTGAATTCTGGGGGTCAAGCTCAAGTCCTTGTGATTGCAAGACCAGAAATGTGCCAACTGAATGTGCCTACCCTTTCCTTGCTTTGCCTCTTTAGACTGAGTATACTCTTTATACACTTTATGTGTGTGTGTTAGTGCATAGTTGTTGATTAGCAATGATTTTAACTGGTGAATTAATTGCGTTAAAAGCTTCTACCAGATTTGCTGGTCTAAATGTTGGCCAAGCAAGCTCCTGTGTTTCCTGTGTCATTTTAGTCATTCTATCTAAGACCTCACTATTTCCAGTTAAACGAAAGAGATCTAGATGTGGAAACCCTAAAAGGATACCATGCAACTTGCTTTGTATAAAAGCCAACCTAAGATGCCAAAATGGCAAAAAATACAGAGCAATTTTAATTTGATTGACCTCCCAAACCTTGCAGTATGAACACTACATAATAGCATTTTTGCTCCAGTGACAACTATTCTACAGTATCACAGAAAGATCAGGCTAAACAAGAACCTGTCAATTTCCAGATTGGGTGTGTAGAAGAGGGAGTTAATTTATTCCCATCACAATCACAGCCAAGAAGCCATCAAACTTAACCTCAACTGCTAGTCTTCTTGTACCAGTTCAACTCTCATTGACCCAAGCACTGACCTACATCTATCCTCCAATCTGAACTAAAAACTACATAGAAAAATCACCTATGGGGCCTTGTACTCAGACATACGGTTAAAACTAGCCCCCAGAGGCTCTTTTGTAGGCTCACAGTGAGTTGTGTGGAAATGGAGTATCTTTGGATTTACATATTTCCTATAACCCGCCAGTGGGTTAAACAAACTGTATATACTCTAGAGCTCTGAACAGTATTTCTTAACATAAGATTCAGGGACCCCCATATTAAAATCATCCAGAAGTGAGACCTGACAGTAACTGGGGGTGTGGCTCAGTGGTAGAGCATTTGTTCAGCATGTGAAAGGCCCTGAGTTCAATACCTAGTATTCAAAGCAAAATAAAACAGAGCTGGAGCATAAGAATATCAGGAAAAGGGCCTGGGAATGGCTTGGCAGACTTTCAGATTGTCATTTTAGGTATTTTAGGGCCAGAGTAGAGAATAAGGACTGACAACTGATCTAGCACATTTTCAAATGAAAGCACATGGAGTTCATAAATAATTCCATTAATTGTCTTAGAGGAATCTATGGATTTCTTCTGGTTCCTTCTTATGCCTCATCTCTTCCCTCAGCCATATTGTTTAGTATCTCCCTAGAACAGTTACCAAGGGAGTCAATCATAAGATAGTATGAGTTACCTAGGAAGAGCAAATCAAATGTCCTTCTGGCAGGACTCTGAAAGGAAAAGTGAGTAAAGGGAATGGGACTCCTTTCTCTAGTTTTCTTTTCCCAGCTCCTCCATCTGAACTCAGACAAGCTCACACTATCTGTACCCATGTGCACAGTGTTAAGGAAGATGGAGGTGTTTTCCCCTCTTCTGTGTGTAAGAGAGGATTGAATATATGGACATCCGTCCTGGGAAAGAAAGCTGATTGGGGATTTGGGCAAAGCAAAGGGATCTTTCGGTACTGGTTGGTAGGGATTGGACTAGACACTCTTGCTATTAGCTAGGTTAATGGAGGTGCTTTGAAAAATTAAAACACATTTCAGTTCTATTTTCCCTCCTATCAAGTATTTAGACCTAGCAGGAAGCAGCTCAGTCAATAATGCACACTTAGGTCATCCTTTTAATGATTGCATCTTTTTCTCTCTGTGTTAGGCTTCCCTCTCTTTCTTTGTAGTTGATAAGATACTGGTGAAGGGATATGAAGAACCAGCCTGCCTCCATAGTAGGCTTAAAAGCCATTTTATAGTAAAGACACACTGGGTTCATTCCTGTTTATAATTAAACCTCTGTTTCTCAAGGGTTGGATTATGCCCCACCTGTAACCTTAACTACAAATGGTTCTGTACTGTCTGTTCCAGGAATGGTAATTATGTCTTTGTTTCAAAAAATTGTTTATGACCATCTTGCAACCCTGCCTTTGTTTCAAAAGGTCATATGACCACCTATGACTACCTGTTGTTATGACTACCTTGTTATGCCCACCTTGCAATCATGTCTTTGTTTCAGGTGGTTGTTAGGACTAACTTGTTATGCTTATATTCTACTCCTGTAACCCCTACCCCTCAGCTATAAAAAAAAAAGCCTAGTCTTCCTCACGTCCAATGCTGACCTCTTGCACCTTGCCTTATGGGAAGGCAGCCCATGTACATGAATACAAAAACTTGCTTTAACTAATTTGGCCATGGTTATTCGAGTCGATGGTCTTTCTCTTCCCATCTTTGGGATTAACAGATAGAGAACAGTATGGGTTGGCTTCTCAGGACAGAGAAAATCCTCTCTTGTGTTAAGTAAGAATAATAGTCATGTGCTTTGGCACAGTCTGTAAGCCCAGTAACTGAGAGGCTGCAGCAGGTTTTGGAGTGCATGGCCAGCCTAGGCTAACTATATGGTGAGAGCCAACCTTTAAAAATTGGAAACCTAGGGACTATTAGGCTCAGGTTTCATCAAATATTTTGGGGAAGGTTGGAACTTTGTGGCAAATATATTCTGTAGCTGTCCAGGAGGGTCTGACACTGAGGTGCTGTGGAGCCTGGGTCTGTGTGAGCTGAGGCTGTAAAGTACACTGCCTTAGTAATGTACAGATCTTGGTGGAAAAACTGTTCCCAGTAAAAGGTGTTTGTGCTAAGAGATGCTGGCACAGGTTGTAAGAGTTCTTGTTACCGGTAGGTTTTTGTTGTTGCTGTCGTTGTTGTTTATTCCCTGGATGTGCTAAAGAAGTGTCTGTCCCCGTTCCTGATGGTGCCCACTCAGCTACTGATTCACTCAAATCCTCGGTACATAAAAACTGCTGAGCCAGCACTTTCCAACTTCAACATTCTAGGAGGTGGAAGTGCAGTTGTAGCCTGCATCCTCCCTCCTAGCACAATCACTTCAATTTCTTTTTCATTTAATCACTTAAAAATAAGAACATGCAGCATGGAGGCTGAGTGCACACGGGTTAAAGCATGCGCTCTGTGAACACGAGGCCCTGGGTTTCCTCCTGTGTGAAATTAAATAGCACTTAATTTGAGGTTCTGGCCATACCATTTCCTGATTCAAGTTTCTTAACCTCTTTAAGTCTCAGTCAATAATAGAGACGTTGCTGTGCTGTTGCAAAGATCAACTAAGATGACACATGAGAAATGTTTAACACAATGCCTTTCCCACAGGAAACACCTCCTATAGGGCAGCCCACATTTAACATGGTGGCAGTGAGGTAGGTGTCAGCTTCCCTGTTGTATTAGCTAATAAACAATGTCATTGCAACTGTCACGCATTGATCGACCATTCGAATTTATAGGACTGCTAAAAGTCACATGGCTCAGTGAAAAGTGCTATGGACCATGGGTAGGGATCCCGGGTTCGAGTTTCAGCTTTATCTCTGATCAGCTCTGTGGCCTTGTCCAAATTCTTTCACCTCTCTGAGTCACTTGTTTCACCTACAATGGGCAGCTAGTGTCTTTCCTTTTCTATCTTAAAATCTTAGAGAGAAAGCCGAGTGCTCTGTACACCGCCAATTTCCACGTAATAACTGGAAGGTGTTATTCCACTCCCCTCTGATTTATCATATGAATTTAACAAAGAATGCTCTGAGTTTCAGAGACTTAGTTATAAACATGAAGAGTGAATTGATTATGAAGAAAGCCACCAAAACTAACACAAGAATCGTGATCAAAAGAAGCAGATGTGCGGCGATCTAAATGAACTCCGTTAGCCAACATAATGGAAGAACCTAACCTACCACACGTTAACACAGAAACATTTACTCTTTGAGGGGACTAAGGCGGGGTATTTAATCAGCTGTGACTTTAACCTGTGCCACCCTGTTCACAAGGGAGAAGATTTACTTGGTCCTGTGTGCGCAACTTCTTTCCCATACAATTATTTTTCCTCTTAAACCCAGTACTGAAAAAAGAGTTCTATCACTGCCTTGTGGCTAAAGATGACCAAAGTCATGGGGATGATGGGGTGCTGGGAAGCATTATGCAAGGAGATCCCCTGGTTAAAGTGTGAGGTGAATTACACCCTGCTCAGTCCAACTATCTACTACGGGATATTTGGATTCCTCTGCATGACAAACACTGAGATCAGACACAGAGTCACATGTCATATGTGATGTGCAGAGATACCTGCTCGTGCTCACTGCCTTTCTTGCCTAATGTAAAGAAGTGGGGACCCCTGTACTAGATTAGAGGTTTCAATCAGCAGGAGGGAGAGTTATCTAGGAGAAAGCCACATGCTTTGCAGACTGAAACTGAAACATACCAGGAATCCCACTCTCTGCCTAAGGACTTGTGGAAGAAAGAGACTGTGGTGGCAACTGCTTAAGTAAGCCTCCCAATTCCAACCCAGGGGACTCTGAGAAAGCAAGCCTGAGCACCTAGGGCAGTAATTGGTGGCATGCATTTCCCCCTTCTGTCAGTAGAGGGAAGCAGCGGAGAGAAGAAAAAGCCAGCAAATTGCTCCCAAAACGTAGAGATGGAATCATTGTTACTCTGATCTATCTGGATGTTTTCTATTCTGCTTAGTTTCCTTCTTGTTGTTCGGTGAGAAGACAATGGGAACTGGCTTTGTGGGGAAGCATTTGGGGATAAGAGTTCGGGGCCATCTGGACACAGAAGATGGTTGTTTGGCTTGAACTGTTTGGGAGGCACCCAGGCAGGGGGATCGGGATCTGTCCCTGGTCTATGGGCAGGCTTCTGGAATCCGGTGCCTGTGGTGTGACACCTTGCACAGCCTTGGTGTAGCGGGGAGGGGCTTGGACCTGCCTAGGCTCAGTGAGCTGGGCTCTGCTAACTCCCCATGGGAGACCTCGATTTGAGGGATGTGGGGATGCGGGGTGGCTTGGGAAAGAGGGCTGGGAGGTGGGAGGAGGGAGGAGGGGGGAATCTGTGGATAGCATGAGGAGTGAGTAGAAAATTTCTTAATAAAGAAAAATAAAATAAAAATAAATTTTAAAAAAAGAGTTAGGGGCCAGAATGGGTAAACTGAGTCACCTATCTGCTTAAAGAATCATCTACCCAGGCCAGTTTGTCTACGGGATGCCAATGAAAGTTGCTTCCTTAGAACTGCATGCTGCCAACTGAATGCCCCCTAGATTCACCGTAGTAAAGTAATAAATCTGGAATCATGGCAGAAAGAGCACAGACTATAATGTCTGGGGATGATTAGCAATAACACCATAATCCCAAAGACTCAACTTCTGCCTTATATTAACTTGACTCAGCTCAGTTCGATCTGAGGGGCTGTTCTGTTTTTGAGGCATGAATATCCATCAAAGGATGAATGACTAAACAGAGTGTGATACCTACAAAGGACAGTTACTCAGCCATAAACAGGAATGAGGCTCTGATACATGCTGCAACATGGGTGAACTTCAAAACCAATATGCTAAATGAAAGAAGCTATCTATAAACTCCTCATATTATTCATTCCATTTATATCAAATAGGAAAATAAAGACAGAGAAACTGAATTAATGTTGTCAGTTTGACAGAAGATAGGAAAGAGGAGTCACTGCTTCACGGGTACTGGGTTTCCATTTAGGAGAATCAAACAAGCTCTGGATCTAGATAGTGATGATGGGTGTATGTAATCCCACTGAACTGTACTCTAAAAATAGTTTTCATGATTAATTTTATGTTAACCACATTTTCCCACAATAAAAAATGGTATCTAATTCAATCTTTCCACCAACTCAGACTGCCCATTCCAATCCATCTGATTTAGTGGTGCTCTGCAGAAAATAGTCATAACCCAATTCCATAAATGAATGATTCCCGTCCCCTTATATCAGTCTGTGCTTTAACTTTGCTCTAACCAAAGGCTGCTTTGCTTCATGCAAATGCTAAGCAGGTACAATGTCACTGGGCTCTAACCCCAGATGCCTTTACAGAATTCTTCACAACAAGATAGTTTTGTTCCAGCAGTTATTTTTGGTATAAATTATGTTTCTGTTTACTTTTAGTTCCCAGTACTAATGGCTCCAAATTCTAAATCCATGTAAGTTCACAACAACCAATTAAGATAAATGGAGCTGTCAGCATGAGTACAATCTACTAATTTGCCAATTGTTAATGGATACTATTTGGTTGGCAGATCTAAACATACAAAACACATACACACACTCTCCCACTCATGTGCCAACTGCCTTTTATTGCAGTAGACAGTTAGGAAATAATATTACATTACCTAACCTCTGACTTTTTTGTGGTTGGTATGCAAAATGAATAAAAGACTTCTTAATAAAATAAAAGTATACAGTGTTTGCTTTTGTTAAAAAAGCTCTATTTTAGTTTTCATAAAATAACTGAACGTATCGTAAACTATTGTGTATTTCAGAAACCGTGTCTTTCATTGTGTATGGGTTAAACTGGTAATTATCTGGTTTGTAAACCTAAATGGAAAATGTAAACCATTATGCAAAAGCCAAGAGTAGCAATTTCTTTTCCAAACAAAGTACCACTCTGGTCTGTCCCTGGAGTTGGGTTTGGCAAGAGAACATAGAACAAGAAATGATGTCTTTGATGGGAGGCCACCCTCGAACCAATCCCCAAGAGTAGAACTAATAGTCACCTTCCTTGGCGTTGGTGAATGCTGTGATGAAGACTTCTTTTTGCAGCTCTTGAGTGTCTTGTCACCGGAAAAGGCTGTTCTGGAATCCCTAGAGACTTTCTGGGATCGGATAACACTCGGGCTGATACTGAGTTTCCGTAAGCGCAGAGGTGGGATCTGTTAAAAGGGAGAATGGAAGAGGTTCAAACTTGGGCGCTTTTCCCAGGCTACTGGTGTTCTTTTGTTCCTTAACTGGTGAAAGACTGACAAGCCAAAAAAGAAAAAAAAATTACATATATAAAAAATTCATAATGAAATCTAGCATTATGTAAAAGGAAAAATGCTAATAAGGTCTGGGAGATGGCCCAGTAGGTGAAAGTTCCTGCCGTGCAAAGATGAGGATCTGAGTTCAAATCCCCAGAACTCATGTAAAATTAGGGTGGGTGGTAGAAGCATCTGTAATGCCACTGGCTCGATGGCAAGATGGGAGTCAGAGACAGGAGACTCTCTGGAAAGTTGCAGGCCAGATAGCCTGATGTAGACAATAGAAAAACAGCAAAGAGACCCTGTCTGAAAGAAAGGAGGTTGAAAGGCAAGAATAAACACCTGAGGTTGTGAGTTTGTCCTCTAACTTCTACAAATGTCTAAGCTGAAAGTGCTGTGTGGTAGTTTGAATAAGAATGGCCCCCACAGGCTCATATATTTGAATGCTAATTCATCAGGGAATATATATATATATATATATATATATATATATATATATATATATATATATATATATATATATGAATGTGCCTGTATGTATGTATGCCTTTATATATGTATGTATATGTATGTACATAAAATAACAACTGAAAAATAGGCTCAGGAAGTAATCTCCTGCCTCCTTGCCTTCGTGTCTAATACCTACTTAAATCAAAGGCCAACTGTCTTGGTTTTGCCTCTGGGTTTCTGCACAGTTTTGCCAATCCCCAAACAAAGTCAGAAACTCCTAATTTCTTATTTGATTAAAGCCAGAGTCTTGGTTTTAGCCCATTCTGGATTCTATCTAGAAATCTTGTTTCATTTTGATCTTTCTTTGAATTTTGGCTATGTCTTTGGAGCCTGGTGCTTACAGAAGCAAAATCTTGAGATTATGATCTGAGATTAGCTTCCACACTACAATCTCTAGTCTTTTTGCTCCAAGAATTGTCTGGGCCGGATCTTGACAATATTTATTTCTTGTCTTAATATCATTAAGGTTGATTTTTCTGGGAATGTTGAAGAAAAATCTAGAGACTTGTGCTCAGCAAGACTGTACCATCTACAGTGTGCCATGCCCAATCCTATGAACTGGGCCTACAATAATTCATGAAATGTGGTTATTTCTTCTCTAGAGCCAACATTGCTTGCTTCTGTCTAAGGTTCTGCATAGCTCAAGACATAGAACCTCCAGACACTAGCCAAAGAAAAATGGACACAGTGGAAGTTTGCCAAGATTTTGCTCCTGGATAACTCCTGGCCAGGGTTTCTAGTGCTCCCTTATTGCTACCAGTCTCTACTGGGAACTTAGGGACTGAGCCTGAATCAACTATTGCTACAACCAACCATCCCTAAGCCCAAGTCTAATGATAATTATTACAAACAATGACAAATACCTTTCACTAATGGATTATAAAATACCAGGCAGTGAGAAATCTCCACAGATGTATCTCATTTAAACAGCACTATTCTCACAAATGTTTACTAGTAATGATCTCCATTATCTATATGGAGAAAATGAGATTTGAGAGATGATGTAACTGCTCATAATCCTATCAGTTGCAAGGCAAGTATTTGAAATAGCTTGCCAAATTGATAGCTTGTGTCCTTAACCACTCTTGTTTCCTCGTGAGTAGTAAGCGCCTGGGATGGAGGTACCATACTGAAGGCCATGATTAGGAAGTGGACAGGCAACAGTCAGAGCCAATGGTCTATTGCTCCCTTACGAAGAACTGGAAAATGAGAGTTGGGCCTGAGAGTGGTAAGAAAAGTGTTCCCAACACATCAGAGAGGGTGTCAGGTGAAGGTCTGGAAAGGAATAAAATTGGTTCCCTCTTAGTATTTCAGACACAAGTGAAGACCTGGATTTCCTCCCTCACAATGTTTAGATGCTACGAAGGTCACTTATGATCCACTAAGAACGTTGCCCTGGGCCTGGAGGGATTGCCCAGTGACTAGGAACATGTACTGTTCTTGCAGAGGATCCACATCAGGCAGCTCACAATAGCCTGTACCTCCAGTTCCAGAGGAACTCAACACCTCTGACCTCTGTGGGAACCTGCACTCATGTGCACATACCCCCACCCCACACACATATAAATTTTTTTATTTAAAAATGAACCCAAACTCTTCAAGGGATGCAGGCACTGGACAATTCTATACTTCCACCAGGATCTATGGAACACTGAATGTAAGGAGGCTTGATTCATTTGGTTTTGTGTATGTATGTGTGTTTGGTATTTTGAGACAAGGCCTCAAAACTGGGGAATCTGGAATTCACTATGGAGAAGAAACAAGTCTTGAACTTAAGGTCCTCCTGCCTCAGCACCATAAATGCTTATATTACAGGAAAGTGCCAGCCACCTTGGCTGACGCCTGGGACCCTTGCCATCAATTAACCTTCATGTAGTGCTGTCATATTGGCACTTGAAGGGAGTTTTCTACCCAGAGGTTAAAATGGTCATTTACGACATATTATCACCTATCCTGGTTAGCTTCCCCCCGCCCCACCCCCCCACCCCCCCCGCCCACCAACTTGACACAAGTCAGAGTTATCTGGAAAGAGAAATCTCAATTGAGAAAATGCTTCATCAGATTGCATGTAGACAACTCTATGGGAAATTTTCTTGATCACTACTTGATAGAGGAGGGCCCAACCCATTGTGGGTGTTGCCATCCCTGGGCAGGTGGTCCTGAGTGGTATAAGAAAGCAGGCTGAGCAAGTCATGAGCAGCTAGCCGGTAACTAATGTTTCTCCGTGTCCTCTGCTTCAGTTCCTGCCCCCATGTTCCTGCCCCCATATTCCTGCACCCATGTTTCTGCCCCCGTGTTTCTGCCTTGAGTTCCTGTCCTGACTTCCTTCAGTGATGGATTGTTCACCTGGAAGTATAAGATGAAATAAACCCTTTCCTCCCCAAGTTGCTTTTGGTCATTGCCTTTATCACTGCAATAGAAAAAAAAAAAAAAAAAACTAATGCAGCGCCCTCTGTTGTCCCTGGGCATGTTTCACAGGAGGAGGCAGGCATGCCCAACAGTGTATGAGACGTAGGCCCACACTGGTCGTTTAAGAAAACCTGCTAATCAGCCAGCTGCAGGGGCCTGGGACCAAAGCGACCTCACCCTTCCTTAGGAATTTTCCATTCTTCGCTCCTTTTGCTTCCTCTGCTCCCCCTCCCTGCCTGAAGCCCTGCTTATAAGCCTCAATACCCAGTCAATAAACGAGACCTTGACGTGGAAAAAAAAAAAAAAAAATTTGCCTTTGAACTCTTGTGGTTTTTCCCATCCCCTTCATCATGAGAAATAAAGCCCCTAGAATACTTCCTTGCAATCCTCTCAAAAAGTAGCTCTTGTTTTTGATTGAATGTCTGTACAGTTAATGTCTGAAACTCTACTACAAAAATTTCTCTGTTGCGGGGACTAAGAAAAGAGGGCAAAAGTACAGAGACTAGGAACTAGGCTGCTTCATTCCAAATATAAGAAACAATCCATGACACTTGGAATGGCCATGAGGGGGTAGAGAGTGTAACTATGGGCATGCAAAAGCTGGTGTTGCTATTTCAGGCTGAGTATTGGAAAGTACAGGAGAATATGCTTTCCCTAATGTGCTGCAAGAAAGCAGCAGTCCAGTGGCACCAGGGGCCGCCACCACAGAGCTATGCCCTCCTCTGAATCCCTCAGTGCTGTCTTCCCCACCCTTCAAGATTAATGCACCCAGCAGAATTTGCACACACTTCAGAAACCAGAGTCAGTCACCTGAAACCTCAAACAGATGTGTCAGAAATAAACTCAACTTATTTTTTACCAAATACAAAATCAAGTGAAAACAAAACAAAACAGCTTTCCAGTGGGGAATGGTCTCCTTGTGTGGCTTCCCCAGTTTCACAGGGATGCTCAGGCGGAAACCCACCAGTAAATGAGAGACAAGCTGCTAAAAAACTGGTGCCCTGGCATTTACACCAGCTCCATGAAGAGCACCTCTGGATCAGAGTTCTAGAAGTGTCTGGCTGAAGAATGGATGTATCTTACAAGTTTAGGATTAGCTGGAGGCAAGGGGCTGTCCTATGTAAATGATAAATTTTGTTGGGACCATAAGAGAGCTGCCATATCTGGGCAGATATGAAGAATTAGAGAATCTTAGGAAGTGGGGTATAGGAAGCCCATGGATTTTGAGGTTAACACACATGAACACATTTCTAAGTCAACAATGTACTAGCTGGGTGGTCCTGAATCATTTCTTTTAAAAATATTTATTAGTTGTATTTACGTTCATTTTATGTATGTGAGCATTTTGCCTGCGTGTGCACCCTGTCCCAGATGCCCATGGAGGCCAGAGGAAGGTATTGGATCCCCTGGAACTGGAGTTACAGATAATTGCAAGCTATCATGGGGTGCTGGAAATCAAACTTGGGTCCTCTGTGTAGGGATGGTTGTCTGTGTCCCGAAGCACCGCCCCTAGTAGGCAGCAGGTAACTGCTAGGTACCTACCCACCCCTGGGGGGGGGGCTTGGTCCAACGTGGTTTTCTGGACAATTTTGCCTTGATACACAGCACCAGCATCCAGCATCCAGCATCCAAGATCACGAGGTAGCCAAGAGAGAGTGAGCATATCTCATCCCAGGTCTTAAGGGGTCCTTGTCTTGGCCACGCCCCGGGTGGTAGCCAGGTACCTACCAGTTACCTTCTGCCTACTAGGGGCAGTGCTTCAGGGTACAGACAGAAGAGCATTCAGTGCTTTTAACCACTGAGACATCTCTCTAGTCCCTTGAATGACTTCTTTAACCTTTCAGAGTCTTCACTCAATCCCCATAAGCAAATTTTTGAGGGGGCTATTAATATTGTACAATGTCGATGAGGAAAGGAAGGCTCAGAGGAAGGCTGTGGTCCTACAACCACAGCCATTGTTTCAGGGCAAGAATTCGAGCATAGATCTGGGTAGTGATTTGATTGAAAATGGCCCCCAAAGGCACATGTGGAGTAGCACCATTAGGAGATGTGGCCTTGTTGAAATAGGTATAGCCTTGTTGGAGGAAGTATGGCTTTATTGGAGGAAGTATGTCATTGGGGATAGACTTTGAGGTTTCAGATGCTCAAGGCAGGCCCAGTATCACTCTCTCTTCCTGCTGCCTGTCAATCCAGATGTTGAACTCTCAATTCCCTCTCTAGTGCCCTATTTGCCTGCATGCCACCATGCTGACAATGGACTAAACTTCTGAACTGTAAGCCAGCCCCAGTAAAATGTTTTCCCTTGTATTGTAAGAGTTGTCATGATCATGGTGTCTCTTCACAGAATAGAAACCCTAAGACAGAAGTTGGTACCAAGAACTAGGGTGTTGTTGTGATAGGCCTGACAATGTTTTTGTTTGGAGGAATGTGAGCTTTGAGACTTTGGATTTAAAAAGTATCTGAATGCTTTAAGTGGGCTTTAATGGGCCATATTAGTGGGAGCATGAAAGACAGTAGTGCTGAGGGTGATTTGAACTGTGGGGCCTGGCTCAAGAAGTTTCAGAGGAGTAGAATATTAGTATGTTGCCTAGAGATCATTCTTATGATATTTTAGTGAAGAATGTGGCTATTTTCTGCCCTTGTAAAAAAAATCTGCCTGAGGCTAAATTAAAGAATTATGGCTCAGGCGGTGGTGCACATCTTTAATCCCAGCACTTGGGAGGCAGAGGCAGGCAGATCTCTGTGAGTTAAGCCTAATGCTGAGTGGAATAAAGGAACTGGTGACCTCAGAGGAAGTCCCCACCCAGCTAAGCTTCCAATTTGTGAAAAGGAGTTAAAGAAAAGTTTAGAGCCAGATATAGGGGTAATACCTTTAATCACAGCACTGGGAAGGAAGAGGCTGGCAGATCTCTGAGTCTGAGGCCAGCCTGGTCTACAGAACTACTTCCAGGATAGTCAAGCTTAGGCTGTGAAGGAAACCATTGAAAACAGAAAGCTGGTGAAAATGTATTTGAACAATGGTGCCATGTTCTAGTCCCAAAGTAGCAGAACTTGGCAGCTTCATCCACATTGTTCTGGCTTTAGGGTCAAGAATAGAAGAAAGGGGTTATGGAATCTTCCTCCACAACTAAAGAAAGCTGCTGAGGCCAGGTGTGTGGCAGGGTATCCCTGCATAGAGTCCTAGAGAGGCCATTGTGTGAAGCTATGAAGGTGAAACCTGGATTGCCTTGGAGACCTCCAAATCTTGGAGATGCCAGAGCCACGGGATACCTGCCAAGCAGAGCTGCTAACAGGGAATAGAGACAGCCCAAGAGAAAGAAGTGTGTTGTAGTCAACAAAGCTGAAAAGAGTTGCAGATCTGAAGAGCACTTGGACATCAGACATGGAGATTCAGAGTTTGAAGTTTGCCCAACTGGTTTTTGGTCTTGCTTTGGTCCAGTATTTACTCATTTATGTTTCATTGCCTATGTTTTGAAACTGTGCCATTATACATTGGAAGTATGTGATCTGCTTTTTCATTTTGATTTTATAAGGGATTATAGTTAATAGATTGCATGAGTCTCAGCAGAGACTTTGAACTTTGGACTTTTAAACAGTGCTGATACTGCAATAGACTACGGGGACTTTTGAAGTTGGACTATGACAAGGCCACGAGTGTATGGGGGCCAGGGAGTAGAATGTGGTGGTTTGAATGAAAATGGCCCTCATAGGCACACAGGGAGTGGCAGAATTAGGAGGTATGGCCTTGTTGGAGTATATGTGGCCTTGTTATAGGAAGTGTGTCACTATGGGGGCAGGCTTTGAGGTCTGATATGCTCAAGCTATGCCCTGTGTGGCACACAGTCTGTCCTCTGCTGCCTGCAGATCAAGATGTAGATCTCTCAACTCCTCCTCCAGCACCATGTCTGCCTGCACGATGCCATGTTTGTCCTCCATGACAATAATGGACTAAAACTCTGACACTGTAAGCCAGCCCCAATTAAATGTTTTCCTTTATAAGAGTTTCCATAGTCATACTGTCTCTTCACAGCAATAGAAACCCTAAGACAATCTCTCTGGCTTAGCTGTCCATGTGCCACACATTTCCATGGTGTTACCTCAGAAATCTTGAAACCTGAGACCCAGCGTTCACTTCTGGGTTCATAGTGGCCCACAGATCCACTCGAAGCTCCAAGGGCATCAGTTCCTGTGACTTTCGACAGAGATCTGGAGATAAGAGATCTCTGTGGGAGAGAGAGAAAAGCTTGGGGATTGGTATGCTAGCACAGAAATCGTGAACTCTCCACTATCAAAATAATGATGGTATCCTTAGAGTGTGTCAAGTAAGTACACTAATGGCAGTCAACAATGTGTTGGCCATGTTACATAGTTACACACCTATTTACATATTGTATTATTTCATGTTTAAGATATTGCTGTGAAGTAGAATTAGCTGATAATCAGGATCAAATTCCTCCCTCCTTTGAGGAGGGGTCAGATAGAATAGTGTCTAGTTGGACTGAGGTCAAGTTCATTGTTACCTGCTGTGATCTGCCTCTCTGGGAATCTGGAGAAGAGCGCAGTTTGCTTGCTGATGCTTCAGGCTCAGGCTCCAAACAGAAGACACTATCGTGGGATATGGCCTTGGCTCCCATGCTGCTCTTAGGCCTACATGGAAAGGAAAAGTCTTTTCAAAGCAGTCCAAGGGATTCAGAATCAAAGAACAAGGTATGTTCATGATATAGATACCAGAGACAGCTTGGAAGCAGGACAGAGATGCATGTGTGCTGAAACAGAAATTGGTCTATGAGATGTGGAGTAAGAACACAAAAACAAAAGTATGGGCACATGCAATGTATATACACATAGTACATACATGCATACATACATACATACATACATACATACATACATACATATGGTGGTTTCAAACAAAGTGGCCCCCAAAGGGAGTGGCACTATTAGGAGGCATGGCCTTGTTAGAGTAGGTATGGTCTTGGAGGAAGTGTGGGCTTTGAGGTCTCCTTTGCTCAAGCTATGCCCAGTGTTCACTTCCTGTTGCCTGCAAGCCAAGATGTAGAACTCTCAGCATTATATTTATGTGGAATAGTCCTAAGTATCCATGCACAAAATAAAAGCTGGATAGCCTTCTCTGGAGGTGGCCTCTTTGGTGACAGAATTTGCTGAAGATTTTTTTCTTCTTTTTTTACTTTTTTTTTTTACATCGCAACCAAAGTTTCCCCTCCCTCCTCTCCTCCCAGTCCCTCCCCCTTCACCTCCACCTTCCCCCACTCCTCCTCCTCTGATTCTCTTCAGAAAAGGGGGGCCTCCCATGGATATCAGCCAGCTGTAGGATATCCAGTCGCAGTGAGAGTAGGCATCTCCTCTTCTATTAAAGCAGGATGAGGCAATCTGGAAGGAGTAATAGGTCCTGAAAGCAGGCAACAGAATGAGAGATAGCCCCCGCTCTCACTGTTAGGAATCTCACACAAAGACCAAGTAATACAACTGTAACATATGTGAAGAGGGCCTAGGTTAGTCCCATGCAGGCTCCCTGGTTGTCGGTTCAGTCTGTGTGAGCCCCTATAACTCTAGGTTTGTTGGTTCTATGAGTTTTCTTGAGGTGCCCTTGACCCCACTCGATCCTACAGTCCTTCCTCCCCCTCTTCTGCAGGATTCCCCAAGCTTTGCCTAATGTTTGGCTGTGGGTCTCTGCGTGTGTTTCCATCAGTTTCTGGGTGAAGTCACATAAACATAATTATGTCATTTTGTCCACCCTCTAACCCCTCCCATATTCCCCTCCCTCCTTCTCAAAATCAGGACCTTTTAATTTAATTACTGTTTAATTTAATTTAATTACTGTTACAGATATACATAAATATATGAATAAATATATAAGCATAGCCTGCTGAGTCCATTCACTGTTGCTTATTTGCATATATTTTCAGGGCAGACCACTTGGGATTCAATAACCAAATAGTATTCACTCCTCCTACCCCCTCCAACTCCTCCTATACTTCCCACTTCTCCCTCTCCTCTTCCATCCCCTTTTTAAATTCACTGTCTCTAATTAGTGCTTCCCATGTGGGGCCATCCATTGGAGCATAGTAAACCTACCAAAGGCCACACCTCTTAAGAAAATTGACACTCTCTAGTAGCCATCAACTGCCAATAGATCCTCAACTAGGGGTAGAGCCTCATGATGCCCTCCTTTATCCATGCTGGAATGGTGACTGTAAAGCCCTGTTTTGTTTTGTTTTTTAACTGTGAGTTGCAATCCCATTTGGGTTTACATAACTGGAAATGTGCAGTGATTGAAAACTAATTCGGAATCAACTGCATGATGAATCTGGGGTGTTTCTGGCAATGTTCATCCATGTTGCGTTGTGTGCTTTCGTTGCATCCTTGCTTCTGAACCCACAACACATGCACTTTGCACTCCTCATGTCACACAGTGCCAATGGACACTAAAACACCTCAGCTCAGATTCCAAACTAGTATATGATAAGAGTTGCAGTGCTTTTCTTGTACTTACAGTGTTTTCTACTTTTATGGAAACACAATGGCTCAATTATAGGAAAGACAATATTTTCATACTATTGTGCTTCAACGTGGAAATATCAAACCAGTATGTCTTAGAGTTGTACTGTGTTAAAATGTCTATTTTTTTATTTGTTTGTTGCATGAGACAGGATCTTACCATGTAACCTTGAATAGCCTGGAACTTGCTATGTAGATCAACCTGGCCTCAAACTCGTAAAGATCACCCTGCCTCTGCCTCCAGAGTACTGTCATTGCAACTTGTGCTACCACACCCAACTGGCTGTAAGTTTTATGGCTGACTGATTGTTTACATGGCTGAAAACCCTGATCTCTCTTCTAAACACTTGAGTGGCGTTCTCTAAGGTTTTTGTCCTAGCACATTAAGCAAGGGACAAAGGCCAGGAGTGATCTTCAGGCTCTTCAGTTATACTTTATTTAATTTATGCTTCTTTCAAAAATATCCCCCTTATGTCTCTCTCAACATTTCTTAGTGTGGCTGTGGTAGTTTGAATGTAGTTGATCCCCATAAGCTCATAGGGAGTGGCACTGTTAGGAGATGTGGCTTTGTTGGAGTAGGTATAGCCTTGTTGAAGGAAGTGTGTCACTGTGGAGGTGGATTTGAGGTCTCATATATGCTCAAGCCAAGCACAGTATCTCAGACCACTTGCTGTTGCCTGTGGGTCAAGACGCATTAACTCTCAGCTCCTTCTCCAGCACCATGTCTGCCTGCAAGCTGCCATGTCCCACCATGATGATAATGGACTAAACCTCTGAAACTGTAAGCCAGCCCCAATTAAATGTTTTCCTTCATAAGAGTTGGCATGGTCATGGTCTCTCTTCACAGCAATAGAAACTCTAAGACGGTGGCAAATACAGCAGAGTAAAGAGACTATTTTGGAGTGAGAAGCTACCATTTTTTGTAGAAATAGCCATTACCAATTTGCAGAAACAATGCAGGGTAAACCAGATAGTGTCTCCATCCCCTACCCCTCTGTTGTGTAGACAGGCTTCTTCTAGTCTTACTTTGAACTCTGAGACAATGTTCTACAATGGCATTGCTTGTAAGGTATGAAATAAGCCCTTTTGTCCAACACCCTTCCCCTTGGCAAAGCTATCTGAAAGTCCTCATCGTGGGTACACTCATTAAAGAACCATAGATACTTTAATGCCATAATGTTATGGGAAGTGTTTAGGGGAGGGGAGTATTGGGAGAATCTTAGCACGGCAGAGCCTCAGAGAATGGCTAGGAGCAATGGTGTACTCTGTGTGGCACCTCTAAATGTCTGCAGTTTAACGTCATGAGAATTGACCGAAGTCTTCCATAGAGGGAGATCCGATTGGTCTAGGGACAGCTGCAGGCACAGGCAGGATATCCCAAGGAAAGAGAAAGATGATGTTTAGATTCTAGATTCCATTTTCCGGATCTGCAGCCTAGGGATGAGGTAAGCAAACCAGGCCCAAGGACCGAAACTCTGCATGACATGGGCCGTCCTGACTTTATGAAACGGGCCACGAGCTCCTCGTGAGCAGTAGGCTCGCAGTCTGATTTTGCTACCTGCTCATGCCTGTTCTCGATGCAGCTCCAGGCCCCCCCTCGCACCCCCCCCCCCCGTGCTTACTTGGTCTCCATCACTTGGACTTCTGCCACTGACTTCAGACTGCCGCTGGAAAACCTTGGCTTTTGCTCTGTCCCTTCTGGGACACCTTCCGGCTCTTTCTTCTTCTTCTTGCCAAAAAAGTTCCTAAAGGCTTTAAACTTGGATTTCTTCTTTCCTGGAAGTGAGAAATGGATGTGAGGTGGAGTGCGGGAGAGGAAGTGAAGGTAGCGGACAGACAGAGCTGTAGTGACAGGAAGAGAGCTGTGATCTCAGGGGCCTTGCAGATTTAGACTCTGGTCCCCACTGTGCCACTCATTTGTTTGTGACACCCTTAGAAACTCAGTAAGCAAGTGTCTGGATTGTTGTGGAAAGGAACAACCCAGGTCACAGTTTGGGGTCTTAAGGCTACCTCAATTTAGGCCAAACTCATAAAGTACTCATTTGCTTGTCAGTTTCAATGACTCCAATGACTGAGAAAGCCCATCTGCATTTTATTTTTTGGCCTTCATCTTTTGTTGTTGTTGTTGAAGAGAAGGCCCAGGATATCACTATATATATATATATATATATATATATATATATATATATATATATATATGGAGAGAGAGAGAGAGAGAGAGAGAGAGAGAGAGAGAGAGAGAGAGAGAGAGAGAGAGAGAGAGAGAGAGAGAGAGAGAGAGAGAGAGAGAGAGACCAGCTGGCCTTGAAATCATGATCTTCCTGCCTCAACCTCCCTAGTGCTGATATTACAGGCCTGTGATACTCACCCCCAAATATGGCCTTATCTTTATTCTTTTAATTTTGCAAATCTAGGAAATTGTGAGGTTTTAAAAATAAAAAACCCACAAGGTCTTATTCCGTAGTGCAGGATGGCCTCAAACTTGGGTTCCTCCTGCCTGAGCAGCCAGAGGGCTGGTACAACAACCTTTCGCTACCACCCTGGGTTTGGCCTTGTGTTTTAATTTCTTAAGTCTCATAAAGTGTGAGAGATAAAAACAAAACAAAACAACAGCAAAGAAACAAAAACAAAAGCAAAAAGCAAACAAACAAACAAAACCCCGTAGCTCAAGCTGGCCAAAAATTCTCAGTCCTCCTGTCTCTGCACCCCCTGTGCCATTATTTCAGGCCTGTGCCACCACCCAGACCTGACTTTGTCTTTTAACATTCTAATGTTGTAAATGTAGAATATTCTAGGGGTGAAAAAGCAGACCTCAGACTTTCAATTCTCCTGACTCCACACCCCAAGTATTGGTATTGCAGGCCTGTAACGCCACCTAGGCATTGACTTCTCTTTTAAACTTTGAAATTTCTTCAGTCTATAAAATTGAGGGGGTTGGAAAAACGGGGCCTCACTATGTGTTAGAGGCCAGCCTCACACACTTGATCCTGCTGTCCCCAAACTTAAGTTCTGCTACTGCAGACCTGTGCCCCCAATCCAGGCATTGCCTTCTCTTTTACTGTTCTCTTTTTTTAATATATGAAATTGTGAGGTTTTTTTAAAGGTCCCAATATGTAGCCTAAGCAGGCTACACACTCTTGATCCTCCTGCCTCCACACCTCAAGTGATTTTATTACAGGCCTATGCCACCTACCAAGGCTTGACCTTCACTTTTAATCTTTTAATTTCTTAAATCTAGGGCATTGTGTGTGTTTCTTTTCTAAAAAGGCCTCTCTGTGTAAATGAGAGGTGTCCTTAAATTCCATCCTCTGGTTTCCACACACTCAGGGCTGGTATTGGAGGCCTATGCCACCACCCCAGGCTTGACCATCTCTTTTAACCTTTTAAATGCTTAAGTCTAGGAAAGTGTGGGGATTAAAACAACGGGGTCTTGTGGTGATATTTTGTTTGTGCTCTAACAAAAAGCTTGCCTGGAGATCAGAGTGTGGAGGCAGCCACTAGTTAACCATACAGGCCAGGCAGTGGTGGTACACACCTTTAATCCCAGCGCTTGGGAGGAGGAAGCAGGAGGATCAGGAGTTCAAGACCACCTTGGTCTATGCAAGATTGATCCAGTCTAAAAGAGAAACAGAGCCAGGCGGTGGAGGCTCATGCCTTTAATCCCAGCACTAGGGAGGTGGAGACAGGAATCTAAGGCGGGAGGAGACAGGAGCTCAGCCTCTGCTGGACTGAAGATTCAGTAGAGGTAAGAGGTTTTTCTAGTGGCTGGTTCCTTTGCTTCTCTGATCTTTCAGCATTTACCCCGATATCTGACTCCAGGTTTTGATTATTAAGACCAATTAGAATTTGCACTACAGCCCAGGCTGCCCTCTCATTTGGGATTCTCTTACCTCCACACCCAGAGTGCCAGTATAGCAAGCTGTAGTACCAGCTCAGGCCTTATCTTTTACTCTTTTCATTTCTTTTTTTCCCCCAAGATTTATTTATTTATTATGTATACAGTGCTCTGTCTGCATGTATGCCCGCACTCCAGAAGAGGGCGCCAGATCCCATTACAGATGGCTGTGAGCCACCACGTGGTTACTGAGAATGGAACTCAGGATCTCTGGAAGAGTGGTCAGTGCTCTTAACCTCTGAGCCATCTATTCAGCCCCTCTTTTCATTTCTTTAGTCTAGAAATCTGTGGTGGTTTAAAAACTCATTTTTCTCCCTCCACACCTGGAGTTTGGTATTGTAGGACTTTGCTACCACCCCAGGCTTGGCTACACCCTAGTTGATGTAGGCCTCCACTGCAGCCTAGACTTTCTCTTTTAGTCTTTTAATTTTTAAATTAAAAATTGGAGTTTGGGAGTTTAAAAAATTTGGGAGTTTAAAAACCAAGGTCTCACACTGTAGCCCAGGTTGGCCTGGAACTCACAATCTTCCTGTCTCCACACACTGAGTGCTGGAATTGCTGGCCTGTGCCACCACCCAGGCCAGGTGTTCTTTTTTAAGTGTCTAATTTCTTAAATCAAAGTTGTGAGGGGGAAAAAAACAGGGTCTCACTATGTGGATGAAGGTAGCCCCAAACTCTTTATCCTCCTGCCTCCACCTCCAAGTGCTGGTATTCTAGGCCGGCACCATCAATCTTTTAATCTTTTAACTTTGTAAATCTGTGAAACTGTGAGGTTTTTTTTAAGGGTTTTGATATGTATCCTAGGCTGGCCTCAAACTGTTGATCCACTTGCCTTGACACCAAGAATACTGGTATGCAGGTGAGTGCCACCACCCCAGGCTTGGCTTTTTTTTTAAAAAAAAAAATCATCTGATTTCTTAAATCTAGGTAATTGTGGAGTTAAAAAAAACAAACAGGGTCTCACTTCATAGATGAGGCTAGCTTCAAACCCTTAATCTTCCTGCCCCTCTACCCTGAGTGCTGGGAGTATAGAACTAAGGTTTACCGGTACAGTTCTAATTGCTACAGTCATAACTGCAGTTTTGTGCCAGAAAAGCTTCACAGTTAGCCCCTTGTGAGGAAATGCCCTGGTGTGCACTCTGCTGTGGGAGGACCCTTCTGTATGCTCTGAATATATGTTGCTCTCATTGGTTGACAATAAAAGCTAATTTAGCCTATAGCCAGGCAGAATAAGGCTGGGCAGGAAAGCCAAATGGAGATGCAGGGAGAAGGGTGGAGTCAGAGGAGACGCAAGCCAGCTGCCCAAGGAACAAGATGCCAAAGGACCTGTAAGTCATGGGCCACATGGCCATGCATAGATTAATAGAAATGGGTTAATTTAAATGTAAGAGCTATTTATCAATAAGCCTGAGCCATTGGCCAAACATTTATAATTAATACAAGCCTCTGAGTGATTATTTGGAAGTGGGGTGGGACTGAGAAAAGCCTCCGTTTACAACACTCTTCACCTATTGGTGCAGTGGAAACACTCCTACCGTGGCCATTTTGAATCAGTTTCTGAAACCGGCTTGAGCCAGTTTGGACAAGTCTGAGCCAGCTCCAACACACCAATCACTAATGCAGGCCGTTAGAGAAGAGTTGGGCTAAGCAGGAAAGAACCTGATACATTTCAGCCATTCAAAGCACTACCATCTGCTTTTGAAACAAGCAGAACAGGACTGACCTTATAAACATTCACCATGCTTAGAAATATAGGGCCCTCACCCCCCCCCCCCTTTGCTTCAAAATCCCAGAATGGGTGCCAGGAAAGCAAAGCTAGATATTTTGGAGTTGCAAACCCACTTCTTACAAACCAGCAAAGACAAGATAGACGCATCAACAGCTGGTAGCTCCCTTTGTAACACAACCAGCAAACACTGGAATGGCTGAGTAAAAAAACTGATAAGGCTGTAAAGCCAAACTTGCCAAACATAATCATGTCCTGAGTAGACAAAATCACACTCACACACATTTTATCCTCCTAAATTAACAGGATGACTCGTGTGCTAGCATTTCAATATGCACAGATTCGGTTTTTCTCACCCATTTTGCGTTCTTTGAAGGGAAGGAACAACTTATTTTCCCAGAAGGATTCAAAATACTTTAAATGATGCATATCTCTTTCCACTAGAGGCACTAGAGGATAAGGAATACTTCCATTGTACCTTTGGGGGCTAACTGCTGTGAGTATGGCATTTGCATAGCTTTGCTAACAGGGATTTGGGGCAACACAAAAAGACCAAACTGGCAAACATAGTGTGTTGGATGCTCAGTGATCCTGAGCCATGGCATGGAAGCAGGGCACCACCTTAGACAGTAACCATTTGCTAGGCACATTTGTGAAATCCTAATACAAAGATGTTTGCCAGATATGAGTATATAAATATGCCTTTTCAGGGTTTCTTTTTTGTAAGGATTGCTTTTAAATTGCCAGCAGATGAGCCACAAAATGCTGGTCTTCAAAAGCCACTAAAAATACAAAGGGTAGTTAGGCAGGTAGGGGTAAAAACTTTACACCCTGCAGGCCTATAACTTGTGTCTCCACAAGGTGTCGCTGTTACAAGTCAGAGAACACAGCGCTGACAGCCGACAGCTGACAGCTATCTGGCTTTCTTGAACAAAGCCATTGATTTCTGTCTCCAAACCAATTTCCAAACAGCAAGCAATTTTCCAAATCATTACTCAACAAAAATCTGAATGAACGTGCCACGTGCTATGAAACAGCCCTTTAAAGGCTGCTCCCCACCACCTGCAGAAGAAATCACAACTAAATACAGTAAAGAAATTGTTTCTACTTCTTCCTGTGTTTGCTTATCCATCATGCACATGGGCAGTCCATTCCATCTGAATTGAATTTAGCTTTAAAATGCATAATATAAAATGACAACCTTTACCTCCCTTCCATCACCAAATGACCATTTTTTTTAAATGTGATCTTTTGAAAATTCTAGAGAACAAACCCAAAGCATTTCCCTCTATCCAGCCTTCATCAAGATTACCGCACTGCTGCCCTCTTCTGTAGGCATCAGGCTCAGTCAACTGATGACTTAGTTGGGTCTGCTTTGGTGAGGAGTCATTTCACTCATTCATTTGTTCATCCATCCATTCATTCATTCACATCCATTTCTTGAATATTCTGCAGTGCCTAATAACTCTCTGGAGGTTCTACTCTCGGGCTTCCTAGATAGTCTTTTAAGCCATACATGACTGAAGAAAACTCAGCAAACCAATGAAAAAACAACCCAATCAGCTATTACATTTGGTTCTGTCTTTAAAGTCAATTTTCACTTTGTGTCTCATAGTTCCACTTTTGAATATACTTTGGGAAGAGAAATGGCAATGGAGTGACCATATTAAAACTGAGTTACATACATATATTAAAACTTCACAATGAAACCCATTATTTTATACTCAGTGTTTAAACTCATTATTTATATAATCAGTGTTGAATTATCTATTTCTATGAATTCCTCTCAGATTCATCTATCACTCATAGATGGCCCCACAATTTAGCTAATGAATACATATTTGAAGAAGGTTTGCAAATGGAATTTATTTTATTTTTTAATTTAATATTTTTATTTATCAGCATACGAAGTATTAGGTTTCCTTGTGGCATTTTCAGATAACGTTTTCTTGTTGATTCTCCTCCCATTTCATCTCCCCATCCGGTTGTCCCCGCCGCCATCATGGTTGCTGTGCTCTGTCGGCCTCCTCCCTTCCTCAACACTCCCCCCCCACGCCCCCCCCACCCCCACCCCCCGCCGCCATCATGGTTGCTGTGCTCTGTCGGCCTCCTCCCTTCCTCAACACCCCTCCCCCGCCGCCATCTTGGTTGCTGTGCTCTGTCGGCCTCCTCCCTTCCTCAACACTCCCCCCCCACGCCCCCCCCCACCCCCTCCCCCGCCGCCATCTTGGTTGCTGTGCTCTGTCGGCCTCCTCCCTTCCTCAACACCCCTCCCCCGCCGCCATCATGGTTGCTGTGCTCTGTCGGCCTCCTCCCTTCCTCAACACCCCTCCCCCGCCGCCATCTTGGTTGCTGTGCTCTGTCGGCCTCCTCCCTTCCTCAACACTCCCCCCCCCACGCCCCCCCCCACCCCCTCCCCCGCCGCCATCTTGGTTGCTGTGCTCTGTCGGCCTCCTCCCTTCCTCAACACCCCTCCCCCGCCGCCATCATGGTTGCTGTGCTCTGTCGGCCTCCTCCCTTCCTCAACACCCCTCCCCCGCCGCCATCTTGGTTGCTGTGCTCTGTCGGCCTCCTCCCTTCCTCAACACCCCTCCCCCGCCGCCATCTTGGTTGCTGTGCTCTGTCGGCCTCCTCCCTTCCTCAACACTCCCCCCCCCACGCCCCCCCCCACCCCCTCCCCCGCCGCCATCTTGGTTGCTGTGCTCTGTCGGCCTCCTCCCTTCCTCAACACCCCTCCCCCGCCGCCATCATGGTTGCTGTGCTCTGTCGGCCTCCTCCCTTCCTCAACACCCCTCCCCCGCCGCCATCTTGGTTGCTGTGCTCTGTCGGCCTCCTCCCTTCCTCAACACTCCCCCCCCACGCCCCCCCCACCCCCTCCCCCGCCGCCATCTTGGTTGCTGTGCTCTGTCGGCCTCCTCCCTTCCTCAACACCCCTCCCCCGCCGCCATCTTGGTTGCTGTGCTCTGTCGGCCTCCTCCCTTCCTCAACACCCCTCCCCCGCCGCCATCTTGGTTGCTGTGCTCGGTCCGCCTCCTCCCTTCCTCAACACCCCTTCCCCGCCGCCATCATGGTTGCCTGTTTTGCAGTCACACCCACATATGCATAAACATTCAAAGCGAGGACGTGCATGTGAGATGTTTCATACTCTGAACTTAGATGCCTGTGATGGCCTCTTTGTTTCTGACCCCTTTACAAATCCCTCCCTTGGTTGAATCTGAATTACTATCTGCAATGAAACCTTAATGGAATTCGTGATGTTGTGATTCAGTTCTGGTTATTACTTATGACCAAGCAGAAATACCTTTACTGTAGTGAATAGAAGCTTCTGCAAAGATTTTAGGCCTTGTTGCTCCTCCCCTCCCGTGCCCCACCCTCCTCCATCCCTCCATCTTTTCCTGCTGGTCCACTTCCTAGGCCTAGTAGCCTCCATTTTGCTTTTGAGTCACATGTATTCTATTACTTATTTTTAATTCCCCACTTCTCCTTTAAGACCTCTTTTCCCTTTATTCCCCTCTAATGGTCTCCTTTCTGATAGGACTGGGTTTTTTTTCCTGATGGCAGTACACAGCAAATCTAGCGCTGGCCATTGAGGTTTGATCAGGTGACTTACCCTCCTCTGGGCCTTCCAAAGCTTCCATGCTGCTGGACACTTCCTTTAATGACTCAGCCATGGTAAACTCACTAAAAACCTTCAGAACAAAAGAGGAAAAGATGATTCCTTCAATATATAGGACAACGAAATCATTTCACCTTGCTACTTATTCATAAGTTATATTCTTAAACTATTCAAGAAAAGACATACAAATGCAATTGCGACTAGGGGTAGGTATCATGTCTTAAAAAGACAGTAATCCCAATAATAGGAAATGGCCAGAAGAGGCAAATACATGGATATACAGGATATCTTGCCTAGGGCTGGGGGAGGGGGGGAGTGATGGCTGAGGAATCACTGTGACACTCTCGGCCATCTTAGTGAACATGGCGGTACTTCCCAGCACGCATGCCTCACAGAGGGAAAGAAACTATGTCTGAACTTCAGAAACCCCTGGCAAAGGAGCCGGTCGCACATGATGCCCGGCCATCTTAGGCTCACATCGTCCTTGACTCACCATAGCCGGTGGTAGAAGGAGAACCACAAAAGAGAAACTTATGAAAGACAAAGGAAGAACAAAGCAAAAAAGAGTATTCGGACACCCCTGCAACTCAGTGTCACTACGAGAAGGAATTCGATTTAACCCCAGAGTTCAGTCAGAAATTTTCTCTGGAATACAGGCCTCACTTCCCTCAACGGATCCTAAACGCCCCGAAGACATCACCACCAGCAACCACTCATCTCAGGTGGGGCCTGTGGAACATCTTCTCCCCTCCTCACCAAAGCCACCATCACAGCAAAACGAATAAACCTCCCCTTCACTGCCAATCCTTTCATGTTACTTCTCGGGCTTGTTAGCACAAAATCCACCAGTGGTCTCTACTCACTCATTCTATGACTTCATTGGAATTCTCTGTGCTTGTCCCAGCGAGGGCTCCAGAACCGCCGGGCTTGGTCCCCTCCCAGCAGAACCGCTCTGCCTAAAGCCAGGCTTCCCACAGCATCTCTCGCTCTCCTACTCTCCCTTTTAAGACGTTTGTATCAGTTCCGGTTCAGAACATCACACTCCCCAAATTTTCCTCTTTCTTTATTGGCTGGTCCTTCTCAGGCTCCTCTAACGGCCCATTCTTCTAGCCCTGATTTTGAAACATAGCATTCGGGCCTTTGTCCTTGGCCCTCTTCTTTATCAACAATGTCCTAGCCCAGCAAACGTTAACAGACACACAATTGTAAGCCACATGCACAAATGAAAATTCCCTAGCAGCAGCACTTTAAAAAGGAGCAACTTTGAAAACAGGTGAAATTATTTTTAATAAGGTATTTTATTGAATCTGATTTAAACAAAATATTATTTCAACATGGAATCATTATAAAATGTGAATAGTATATTTTATATTTTTCTTGTCACACTAAACAGTTGCATTAGCCCTTTTCTCTGCTCAAACTTATTCACCAACTTTCTGCTGCTTGAAGGTTAAAACCCTAGCTCTCTATTTGCTTGGGGGCTCCTTTTCCCCTCCGTCTTCCAGCAGCCTCCTGTACTCTCATTCCCACACTGTGGTGTCCTAGAATCATGAGCCATTCCCTAAACATACTATTTTATTTTGCTTTATCTGAACTGTGCACAGCCTGTCCATTATGTCTGGAATGCCATCTTCCCAAAGGCCCATACCCTTCATTCCCTCTTGTTCTACGTGACTCAAACACCCATGTCTACCCCGATCATGCTCTTGGCCCTTTGCACATACGTCTTCCAGAAGTGGCATCACCTGGTGGGCAGGGACAACATTTTGCTTATCTAAGTAGCATCATTACCTAGTAGCACTAAGCACACAAGTTACTTACGACGTGTGGTTGAGAAGGACGGGTGCAATACTAGACAAAGCTGGGTGCTGGAGCACAAAATCGGAGTCAGTACCAAAGTGGTCCTCTCGTTTAAATATATGGAAACAATTTGGGACACGTTTCAAGTAAAGGACTTCTTTGCATGAAGTCCTATGAGAAAAACTGGTAAGGAATGAGAAAATACATGTTTTTATACAGAGACCTTCATGGAAAATGGTCATCATCAAGGCTGGCCCCACAGAGATATCAAATTGAATTACTGAGTCATCTTTAAACATGTCCGTCAGAAGAGGAGCATGCACGCAACCTTGGATTTGATCCTGGCACCACACAGGCACACACAGAAGGATGAGAGTGGAAAGGCATGCTTGCTTCCCTGGGCTGCCCCAGAGCTGCCTCCTCCTCCTTCCTGCTGTCTTGCTGAAAATCTGTGAAGGGTCTAAAGGTAAAACAAAGGCAAGAGGCCATACTCTGGGGCTGATGAAGTTGTTCACACACGGCCTTATCTAGGTTCGAGGATTCCAGCTTTGTCTCCTTTCCAGCATGGAAAGCAGTTAGCCTTATGTTCTCAAAACCATTCAATAGTCTCTCCAGGGAAGAACACACCAATTGGTTGTCCTGTGCCAAAGAGTCAGCACTGAAAACATGTATAAAAGTAACATTCCATGAACTCAGCGGGGAATATTTAGGGATGTGTATGAACATACACACACATATATGCATGCCTTAACAACTAGTGAAAAAAAAAACAGGCCATGAATTTGAAGGAGAGCGGGAAGGGGTATAAGGGAGGGTTTGGAGGGAGAAAAGGGGAGGGAGAAATGTAATAATTAAATTATATTCTGAAACATTAACAACAACAACAACAAAATCCCACAACCCATTCGGTAGGATAAATGCTTTCCATGGGGTCAGCAGTAGATAGAATTCATAAACAGATCTCAAGCTTTTCACTCCCAGTATGCTTGCTCTACATGCTCCCTCCCCTTGGGTGTGGGTGGACCTAATCTAATTATGTGAGCCCAGTAAAAGAGGGTCTAGATGTTAGATGTGGAAGTCAGCGATTTGAGGCTGCAGCAGATGCTTTTCTGATGGCCTTGTCAGAACAAATTGTCATGGTGTAAAGACCAGAAAAGCAGAGAACAGCAGGCAGCATCTTATAGCTGAGAGCAACCTTTGGTTGACAGCCATCAAGAAACCAGAGACCTTATAGGTAGTTATGGTGGTACAGCCTGTAATCCCTGCACTCAGAAGGCTGAGGCAGGAGGATGGCCTGAACTCACAGGATCCCTGCACTCAGAAGACTGAGGTAGGAGGATGGCCTGAACTCACAGGTTTGGGCTAGCCTCAGTGTTAGAGTTTGGATATGAAGTGTTCTTTCAAAGGCATTGTTGAAGACCAGCTGGTGGAGATATTCATTGAGATGATTTGCTGGCCAAGGTAGTGCACTCCTTCAATCCCAACACTTGGGAGACAGAGTCAGGAGGATTACTGCGAGTTCAAGGCCAGCCTGGTCTACATAGTGAGTACCAGGATTACATAGAGAGAGACCCTGTCTATAAGTAAATAAGTGGAACTTGAGGGCTCTGACCTAATAAATGTATTCACCCACCGACAGGTCTGTGATTAGATGCTATTAGTGAGAGGTGATTGGAATTTGGAGACAAAGTCTGGATGAAGGTATTACTGAGAGCATGTGTCAAGAGTACCATCCCCAAACTCCCCACTGGTCTTCACCTCCGTTTCAAGTAGGGTATTCTTGAGATTTTTTTATTTTATTTTTTTTGTCACGGCTACTGCTATTACAGTTCCTAACAGTCAATAATATAATTAGTTGGGAGAAGTGATCCTCTTCAAAAAGTGAAGCAGGAACAAGAGCAGAAGAAACAGAAATGGATGTTGCTGTGGGATACGAATTTCCCTTAGCTGGCTGGAATCTGTGGGATTTGGCTCAGATCTTCCCTGTCCTTACAATACCAGAGGCACCAGCGGGGAGTCAGGAACAGGGACTAGGGAGGGGAGGCACCCAAAGCCACTCCCTGGACCTTGGATCCGGAGGATGAGAACCCGAGGATGAGAAACCAGGCCTTGAGAGTATGCCCTTTTCTCATGCTGGATCAATCTAACCTTTGTGAAGGCAACTTGTAACTTTTTGGTTTCATCTTGGGAAACTTTGGTCCACAGTGTGTGGGTTGGAAGACACAGTCTGCGGATCACCCCATGGCCTCAACAAATACTCTTTGTTCTCTCTGTTCTGTCTGGTGTGAAATAGAGTGGTCTCTAAATAAAATTCCTCTCAACAGGGATTCTCTCATCCCCGGTGGGTGCATACCCAGTGAAATAACAATGCCTCCCAGAAAATGAGATCCCTGAAGATTCTCAGTTAGGGTGATACTTGCAAACCTTTTGGACCTCTAATTTCCTTAGACCTTAAATCTACAGGCATCCCTTCAACTGTGAAAAGAAGCAGCTGCTACCTCACACATGAGCAGAATCATCTGAAGGTACTCTGGCTCCTAATGTCATCTTTTACGCCACCCATGGCACCGCTTTCTGTCTACTTTACCTGAAATAGCTACTGTTAGACCCATTACCTTGAACCACACAACCAAGTCAGAACATTACTCCTCAGGGCCTCTCCCCTTTGCCACACCCAGACTCTGTGTGAATGCATAGTGTATGCTCAGGTCCGTTTCAGATGCTATGGAGACAATGGCAAAATAAAATAGTGTATGTTTGCTGTTTACTGGACACTGAGTACGTGCTGACACAGAAGAGTTTTTCTCAGAAACTTTCTCACTGAATCCTCAGAGCTTTCCTGTGAGGGAGGTACTATTTGTTCTCATCCCCTCATTCATAGGAATATGGAAGCTGAAAGGCTAAGTAATTACCCATGCTCACATGGTAAGTATATGGCACATACAACTTACGAAGTTAGGAGTAGAACCTAGGACTTCAGACTGCTATAGAAAACGATCCACTCCCTGATGACAAAAGAAAAGAAAGCACATGAAAGCACGGCGTAAGAAGGAGGTGGACACAGGAGGATTGTGAGTTCAAGGCTACAAAGTAGGTTTCAGAAACCTCTGAGCTTTATAGTGATGCCCTGTCTCTAGGAAACCCTGTTCTAATTTGTTTTCTAAACACCATGGCCAAAAGCAGCTTACAGAGGAAAGAGATGATTTCAGCTGACAACTCCCAGGCCACACTTCATCACTGAGGGAAGTCAGGGCA